TGAGTTTTTTCTTTCCTCCTGTTGTGACAGTGATACTTTTGTGGGCTCCTATCCAGTGGGCATTCTGCATCTTGTAGGGTGTTTAAAAAGTTCCTGTTCCTCTTTCGTGCAGTCTTGGCAGTTACATTTCCTGGTGAGCAGTCTGATTCCTCCCACTGTAAAGCTGCCTTTTTATCTTCCACTCTCAGTGAGCAAATTGGTGATCTTCACTTCGGGCTGCACGTTACATTCACCAGAGGAGTTTTGAAAATGATTCTGGTACCCACGCTGTCGTCAGATCCCGATTCATGTGCTTTGGGGTAGGGGGTTCGAGAATCAGTATTTTTAAAAAGCAACCGCCCCTCCCCACCCATGTTTACAGTGTGCAGCCAGCCTTGTAACATGATTTCTGATGGCTCTACCATCCATTCAGTTTTTTTAACTCATTTCATCAAAAATGTTACAATGCTGAAGGTGAAAGGCTGGTTGTCATTTGTCTTGAGGTTGGTTGGAGAATAAAGGAGAAGGCAAGTGGTCACTTTGTCTTCTTTTTGTCCAGCAGCTGATTGGGGTTCTGTGGGCTGCTGACTTCTGGTTCCTGTGCCTTCCGATGGGCCATTTCTCAGTTCTCCTAACACAGTGTACGGCAGCTATATGATAAAGTGCCCCCTGGAAATGGGAAGAAAGTCATCCTCTGAAAGTAAGCCTTGTAAAAATAAGACAGATGTGGGCTATTGGTCAGCTGTAAAAGGGACCAATAAGCCCTAGGAGATAGTTTGTAAATGAATAGACACATGATACGGTGGCCCTGGGATGGTTTGACCTTAGATTTGGATGGAATCTAACTCATGATTAATTTAGCAAACAGGTACGTAGGACATAACACCTGCCAGGCACAGTTCTGGGCAGTTTACCTGTATAAATTAGTTCTGGTTTTACAGCCATATTTTGGTGGGTACTGTCTATATTTTAGGGATGAGAAACAGGCACAGAGAGTTAAGTGACTTGCCCAAGGTCACACTGGGGATTTGAATGCAGGTGGTCCTTCTCTAGGCCAGGCTCTTTATGGGTTGTTAGACCACAGACTACCTGGTACCTGGGGACAGAGCCCTGGCTCTGGGCTTCACCATTTCTGCGTCTGTGGGCTGCTTCCTGCACCGCACTTTCTCCTGTGTTGGTTCATGGGTGGATAACAGATTTTATGATTTAAACAGCACTTCTTACTTACTCTCTTTTCAGGCTAGCATCTGGGATTCTTCAGTTCCTACCTCCTTTCGTTATTATTTTCTCTTTTGGTTTTGTTGTTACTTCTGTAGTTTTTTTTGAAAGCAAATCAGACATTTTTATCTGGAAAGGAAAACTATTTTAGGTACAGGCATGAACAACAGTTGCCTTTTTGTCCTCAGTGACCTATGTAACAGACTTGGAAAAAACCCTCCCGGGAGAACTGGAACGCCACTTCATTTTTCCCTTGTGGAATCTTGGGGGTGGGAGCTGATAACATTTTTAGCTGTTGGAAAACCTCAAGATGCTTGGGTTGCTCTATATGGGATTAGTGCCTGAAAGAAAAGTCCCAACTCAGTGGTAATGATGGGGAAGCATTTCTTTCTTTTTCACTAACACTTGTTATCGCCAGTTGTGGAGATGTCTTTATCATCTTCTCCCATGGGGGTCCACGAAGAGATGGGAGAAGACTTTTAATTTCTGTCTGTTGGCATACAGTGGAATTTGACATGAAACTTGTAATTAGATTATCAGGCTTGGGGCTGAGCTGCTATGGCTGTGCTAAAGGAGAGGAATTTTGTTTTGTGGGTGATGAATTCCAGAGTACATGCTGCTTGTCAGCAGGTTGGCCCTTCCGGGCCCCCGGGGCGGGGCAGGGAGCCTGGTGGTTGTAAACAGCACACTCCACTTTAACCTTCAGGGTCCCTGCAGGGCAGGACACGTATCTCTGCCTCCTGCCCCCTGTCCCTGCCTCCGTCCCTCCCTCTCACCCCCACCATCAGATGGTTTGAGGAAGCACTTGGGGCCTTTTTTTATTTTGGAGAGTCAGGGAGTCCTGGCTTTGAATTTGGCTCTGGGTGAGGGGAAGGACAGCTGTCAGGTGTAGGTCCATGCAGGGCCCTTCTCCCAGGACATGGCTGTTGTTCCCAGCAGGTGGCTCTCTGCAGGGCTGGTCAGGGGAGCCACCAGCTTGCCCCTTAATGAGGCAGTGCCGCCTGGCCTATGTCTGAATGTGACAGTTTCAGAATGATTGGTGTGGAACTTGTTTGTATTTCTTGACCATTTGACCAAAAATAGTAGTTTATAAGGCAAAGGACACTCCCTGTGTTTTATACAAATACAGGGTCCAGCAGAAGTAACACCACTGAGCGTGGTTGGTAGGGTACATGGATGTCTTGTACGAGACGGACAACATTTGAACATTTCCCCTAAAATGTCCTATGGCGTGCTTGAGTTGCGATGTTGTTATATTACAGAGTTACATGCTCATGATTTTGTAATAAAGGATTTTTATGTAATAAAAAACGGGCATTATTTGTGCCTGACCCTGTATATGTGGGTAGATATCATGCCGTTAATCCATGTTCCAAAGATCCAGAGACCAAGGGGTCTTCATTTCTTTTATGTCAAGGATCCTTTTGTCTCTAAGCTGTATGAGCTCGTGGCCTTTCTCTGAATGCTATATTTAAATGTGTGCACTAAAATACAAAGTTTCACCAGGAAAGCAGGCTTCCTTACAGAGGGCAGGTTAATAGCTCTTGAGATTTTTTAAAAAATTTTATTTATTTATTTTTTAGATTTTTGTTGTGATATTTAAGTGGTGATGAACTTATACCCTTGATGATACAGTGGACCACTGTCATGTGGAATCGAAAGCCTCTGCTATTTCTGTTGGTGACGAAGCCGCAGACATCGCTCCTTAATATCATTTCTGGTTTGTTGCCAATATGTGTAAGAGAAAGAAATGCTAAATTTCAGTTAGAGGATGTTGAGAATGAAGATTACATTCTCTCCCCTTTCAGGGTCCTGGACGACCGCTGGGTTCTGCTCCCCCTGTAGTCAACAGCTGGGCTCTGTAGCCCAAACTGAAAAACTGCAGACAGAATCACAGAATTTCATTGGAAACAGATTCCTGTGCCAGTTAGGGAGAGAAGCTGTCAAAGATACCCTAGAAATATAGTTAGCTCTCCCAGGGACCATGTGAGTGTAAGCAAGCAAGCCTAGGAAGACTGAACTCAGGAGGCCCCTCCGGAGACCCTCCCGGGAGCGTGGATGTGCCCGGGGAGCTGGGGTCCAGGACGGTTCGTCCTCCCACCGTCGGGGGCTGTGGAGTCCGGTGGCAGAAGGAGGCTGATTAATCTTGCGGCCTGGGATGGCTTTGGGAGGAGGCCCCTTTTTACATTTATGAATTGTCCTCATGGAGCCAGTGAGCCATCTCCCCACACAGTGAACAGAAGGGGAAATGAAGGGACCATGTATGAAAACTTAGGGACACAAAAAATGGTCAAACTTGGCCTCCGGAGACAAACCCCAATGAATGAGGGTCCACGGGGCTTGCCGCTTACCCAGGATTTGCACCTTTGAGCAAGTTTTTAAATTATTTTTTTGTTTTGCATATATTAATACATTTAATCTTCATAACCCTGTGAGGTAATAGTTATCTGTTCTATTTCACAGAAGAGGAGACTAAATCACGAGGGGTTAAGTACTGGTCCAGGGTCACAGGCCCAGGCTGCCTGGCTCCAGGGCACAGGCGTGCTCTCGGCCTCTATTCCGTACTTGCACCCAGAAACAGCCAGTCTCAAAGTGGCTGCCTCTTTAAATCCTTAGTTGTAGGGCTGACATTTAGCTAGATTTCAGGGGGTACTGGATGATAGTTGCTCTGTAGTTTAGTTGTAATTTTGATGGAGGTTTTCTAATGATTTTACACGGGGAATAAAAATATTCAAGTATAAGGACATTTTAGTTCTTGGTGGGTTTAACACATCAAGGTCACCACCCCGCCCCCTGCTCTTCCTCCCGCTTCGCCTCAGTCTGCAGCTCAGAGTAAAGGTGGGCGGTCGGGGTGCCGATTTGCTGGGTGCAGGGTCTGAATGAAGCTTCTGACATGAACGAGGCTTCTAGCATTTTGTAAATCAGACCACACTGTTAACAAAACAAAGAAATTTTATGCAAGAGAAAAAATTGTGTGCGTGTTTTTTTAAAATGGGGGCGGGGATAATTTGTGGCTTCACTTACTCAGCACTTTACATAGGGCACCAAATATACAGGGGCAAGTAAAACCACATGGTCCAGCCCTTCCTACTGACAGAGAGATGTATATTAACTGCACAACCAAGGTGTGGACTTGGCGATCACGCCAAGTGTATGAGCCAGAACTCAGAGAGGGTGCAGGGGCGGGAGGTAGGGGCGCTGATGGGACTGACAAGACTTAAAAAAGTAATCTGAAAAGGGGCCAGGGACCCCATGGGGAGTGACAAGCGCTCAAGCGGGTTGAGGAGCGGCCGCACCCTGGGCAGCGGGACAGTCTCGGAGCTGGAGCACTGGGCGTCGGACGCTGGGAAGCTGCGTGTGCCTGCCTGAAGGCAGGCAGGCTTGCTGCTGTGTCAGAACGCCTGTGGTGCTGAGGTGCGGTGCAGACTGTGCCAGCGAGCATTGAGGCCCGTGGTGAGAGCATTTTATTTAAATACGTTCTTTTAAAATGCAAAAATAGGAACAAGCCATACAATTTTTAATTAGAAGGAAGGTAGAGCATGGCGTGTCTTCTTGGTCTTGTAGGTTAACTATGGCGTGTGACCCGATCGTGTAGGAATTGCTTGTGGAAGGGTGGGCCTGCGGTCCCCAGAGGAGCAAGGCACTGCGCTTCGATCCTGCGGGGCCCGCGCTGGTCAGTTCTTTCTGCACTCCTGTGTCTCGGTCCAGCTCCAGCCACGCCTACATTTGGGGTGGAATTCCATGGTCCCTTCTGGGTGCTTCTGAGAAAAGAGATAACCTGCATCTTTCCCTTTCCCCTCCAGGGCGGGAGCAGTTCCACGGCCTTGGCTCCATGTACTGCCGGGGGGCGGCCGCTGTCATCCTCACCTATGACGTGAACCACCCGCAGAGCCTGGTGGAGCTGGAGGACAGATTCTTGGGCCTGACAGACACAGCCAACACCGACTGCCTCTTTGCCATCGTGGGGAACAAGGTGGACCTCAGTGAGGAGGGGGCCTCGGAGAACTGGGAGGAGGAAGGGCACAGCTCCAGGTCGGGGGGTGACCGCTGTGTGTTGCCGAAGGTGCCCAAGCTGGTGAAGCCAGAGGAAGCAGTGGCACTTTATAAGAAGATCCTGAAGTACAAGATGCTGGATGAGAAGGATGTGCCGGCAGCTGAGCAGATGTGCTTTGAGACCAGTGCCAAAACTGGATACAACGTGGACCTCTTGTTTGAAACCTTGTTTGACATGGTGGTGCCCGTGATCTTGCGGCAGAGAGCCCAGGGGCCGCCGCAGACCGTGGATATCTCCTGTTATAAGCCGCCCAGACAAACCAAATCTGGGTGCTGTGCCTGACTCTCAGACACCCCTGACCCCCAGTTTACACAGTGGGCAAGGAGTATGACCAAGCGAGCTGTGGTCAGGAGCACGGAAAGCCAAGGAGTTCCTTTGTAGAACTGCACATGGGGGAGAAGGTCCGAGTGGAAATGACAGCTAACTGTTAAGAGAAGGTCAATGTGAATCATCGCCTCTGTCTACGTCACTGTTTCGGGAGGTGGGGAGTTCCAGGATCAGGGTCCCTGGAGACTGTTGTCCCCTTGCTGATCCTTTCCTGACAACCTGGCCTCTGGCAGAAGGTTGCCTGGATGGGTGTGCACCTGTCTGAGCACCTGTATGACTTTTGTTTCTTGTTCTCAGACATTTCTCTTCACTGTGATTTATCTTTGGTCCTGTCATTTGGAACTGGTATCTTGATGCATCATAATGATTCTCAACAGGTTAATTTATACAAAATCAGGAATCACTTTTTTACATCGGTTGTAGTAGCATGAACTACACATACTATTAAAAGGAATCTTGAGTAGAACTTTGGGGTGGAGACTGCGTTGATTCAGGCTTTATTTGTGCCCCCAGGCGACTCCGCGCTGAGGGCTCTGGGGAGATGGCTGTGAGTTTTAGGTAATTCTATCTTTTGAAGTTGGCACTGAATCCTTACAGATTCCAGAATATTTGAATCAGCCCACCTGCCTAGTTGTCTTGATGACATGAATTCCAATAATAGAAGCAAAAGTGAAAACTGTTTCTGCTGAGTTCTGCTTGGGTCACCTGGGCTATTCCTGATCAGAAACCCCTTTTTGGTGGGTGCACTGCTTTGTTATTAGAAGAGGCTAAGGCAGGAAAGCTGCGAGACAATGCGTTTTGTTCTCTTAGAAGTTTATTTGAGAGCATGGAGGCCAGACTTGGGGCTCTCTGATTGGGAAAGGGGTGTCGCAGCCAGCTCAGGCTGTTGTAACTAAATACAGGCTGGGCAGCTTAAGCAGCATTTATCTCTCACATTTCTGGAGGCTGGAAGTCCAACATCAAGGTGCCAGCTGATTCAGTTTCTGGTGAGGCTCTCTTCCTGACCTGCATATGGCCTTTTTCTCGACGTGTCCTCACGTGGTAGACGGGGAGAGAGCTCTGGTCCCCTTCTTCTCTCATAAGGGCGCTAATCCTCTCACAGGGCCCTACCCTCATGACTTCCCAAAGGCCCCCGCCTCCAAATACCATCACATTGAGGGGGTAGGACTCCAGCATATGGATTTTAGGGGGACACAATCATTCAGCCCATAACAGAAAGCAAAATGTGGCAGAAAGCTAGTGAGAAAACAGTATTTTATAAGCAGGGTTTTTTTTGGAGGGGAGGTGTTCAGTGATTTTTTTGGGTGCCCGTGAGCTCCGTCCCCAGGCCCCTCCAGGGCCGCCTCCTGCTCCGTGCAGTGCGCAGCCTCCTTGTGTCACTGGGGCTCCTCAGTTTAGGTGCCCTGCCACTGCCGACGACTTCAAGTTCTCCAATTTCTTTTTTCTTCTTCCATTTTTTTTAAAGAAGATTTTATTTATTTACTTCTAGAGAAAGGGGAAGGGAGGATGGGAAACATCAATGTGCGAAAGCTACATGGGTCAGTTGTCTCTTGCTCGTCCCTAGCTGGGGACCTGGCCTGCAACCCAGGCATGTCCCCTGACTGGGAATCGAACTGGCAACCTCTTGGTTCACAGGCCAGCACTCGGTCCACTGGGCCACACCAGCCAGGGCAAGGTCTCCAATTTCAGTTTCACAATGAGCACGTTGAAAAGTGAAAATGGATTAGTTTGATTCCTTTTCCATGATTTGGTTTAATTTGCCATTGTATGGGCAGAAGTTGTGTTAATTTCCTGTCAAGTGTATCTTTTTTAGTTACACAGTAGGAAATGTGCTGCCCAGGGGGACCCAGGGGCTTGTCTGAACACTTGGGGAAAAGCGTCCTATGACATTGCACCAATCCTGAAGGCGGAGCTGGCTGAATGTGTTCTGAAGGCCCTTATCTCCTGAATATTCTTTGGTTCTCTTGCCCATCTGCTATGACCGCCTGCAGCTAGTCTTCCTGAACAGCTAGTGTCCCTGAACAGGGGATTGCCCAGGAATGGACATTCTCCACTTCGGGCACTTAAGCATTTCACTTTTCATTGTTGCTCTAAAAATAGGCTTCAGTTGGGGCTCTGTTCCAAGTGCACTTTTCAAAAGCCAGCCTGGACTCTTCCTCGTGAAGGGGCCTGATCCTCAGATCTGAGCCCGCTCATGGGTTTCTGGCTGTGACCTCATGTGGTCAGTTCTGTGGAGGCTTCAAGTCGTTCAGCTGCGTGAGCCTGCTGGTGGGGACGGGGGATTTTTCTGCTGGATGTGGTTTTGAGCTGGTGCCCTTGAACATTCCTTCCATCGATGCCTCTGTATAATTGCAGCTGCCCTGGGAGGCCACGGGCAGCCCTGTGCTAACCTGCCTGAACTTGGAGCCATTGCTGCAGATTTTCACCTGGGGCCCCGAAGTGTCCTCCTGCAGATAAAAACCTCCTCAACAGTATCTCCTAGTTGGATGTTTCCTGGTGTCCTTGAGGCATCGTGAATGGCGGAGGCATCTGGGAAGTTTTGGGTTGGGGATGTTGTAATCTGGGTGCTGCAAGCCATGGTTTCCCCTTTCCCCAGGCCGCTAGGCTGGTTTCTTAGAAGTATTGTACAACTCTGTCCTCTCTGAACGTGACATTCTGGGTGAAGCAGAGCTGCCTGCTGTGCCAGGAAGGCCCTCTCACCCAAGTATCTGGCAGCCACACCACCTCCAGCATATACCGTATTTTGCCGTGTATAATGTGCACTTTTTTACCCGAATTCTTGAGGGAAAGATAAGGATGTGCGTTACACAGGTGTAGTACTAATTCTCTGTCTATATAAATGTCTTTAATTCTTTTATTTAGGCTTATGCGTTAAAAGTATAACTCTAGAAAGCAATAATGAAATCCGTATGTGAAGTAATACCCTAGCATACAATAATCAGTTTTGTTTCTAAATATAAATAAAAAATTGAGTTAAAAAATTAAAACAAAAGACTATTTCCCTGAAAGTTTGGGCCAAACGCATGGGTGCGTATTATACACGGGAGCGTATTATATACATGGCAAAATACGGTAGTTTGCCTTACCAGGTGAGCCCGGTGCTCAAAGCCAATGACATGGATCAGAGAGATGGTTTTTGTCCCACAGAAAGAAGGAAATGGAAGTGACTTCTGCCTCCAACTCCATGCTTTGGGGTGACCCTGATTATGTAGAGTGCCTACTATGGATGACAACCAGAGTTTGACCCTTGAACAGGGTGGGATTAGGGATGCTGAGCCCCATGCATTCAAAAATCTGCATATAACTTTTGACTCTCCCCAACTTAACTATCAATGGCCTTCTGTTGACCGAAGTCTTACCAATAACATAGATGATGAACACATTTTATATGTTACATGTACTATATACTCTATTTTTACAGTAAAGCAAGCCAGAGAAAAGAAAGTGTTAAGGAAAATATGTTTACAGTACTGTACATATTTATTGAAAAGAACCCGTGTATAAGTGGATCTGCACAGTTCAAACCTGTGTTCAAGGGTCAACTGTAATGACTTTGAGGAAGGCAAGGCCTTGTAACCCAAGACCTTGTGTCTGAGAGCCAATGTGTGGTCTGTCCACGCATTGTTTTAGAGTCAAAATCTGCTCCACCTGTGGCTGGGGGAAGTCCCAGATTGTATTTTCCTTTATGTCTTTTGGCCCAGTGGACCTCATGCTTCCACAGCGCTCCTACCTGCCCTCATTATTTTACTTTACCCTATTCCTGAAACACACTCCCTGTGTGTCCAGGAGTGGTCCCTGATCCTTCCCGCTTCTCAAAGCTGGACCCTTTGGACCTGCACTGTCAGAACGGGGTGGAGCTGCTAGGCCTGCAGTGTAGACCCTGAATATGCGTGTGCAGCTGGTCTGGTCTCCGTGTGCCTGTTCTGAAAGCTGCTGGGCTGACGATGCCCCTTTGCAGGACCTTCAGAGCAAGTAACTGCTTAGTCTGCAAGTGTCTGTGCTGCTCCCTGTCCTCCCCTCCCTTGGATTGGCCTTGAACTCACTGGCCCTTCCTCCAGAAGGAGGGTCTGGAAAGCAGCTGCTTTGAGGGTGTGAGGACTAAAGCCTAGAGCAATGAAAGGTGTGTCTTAGACTGGGTCTAAGGCCAGAATCCACCAGTGGCTGGAAAGGGACACACATCCAGGTTTTACCCAAGTCTAGGCCCTTCCAGGTTAGGGCTCCAGGGAAGCTGACTCTGGGTTTCACATGCATAATTTCGTTTTCTGCTGTGTTTGTTCTCTTTTGCCGAGGCTGGTTTGGTTGCTCAGGCCTCTAACCAGCAGATACCCACTGCCCAAGATGAGTGGGGGGAATGCTGGCCTGGGAAGCGCTGCTTCCAGGATGCACAGTGTATCTCCAGGGGCACTTCCCACTGTTCTCCCTGGCCTCACTCACCCCTCTCCCTTGTGTGACAGAGAAGCTGGACCCTGACCCCATATGATGAAGTGGACTCTTTGGAAATGGCTACAGTTTTACAGCCAGTTTATGTCATTGCATAGCCCACAGCTTCCAAGCCTGCCTCCACCCCAGTTGCCCTTTGCTCTTGCCCTTGGCCATAAAAGGGAGGTAGGACTCTGAGTCAGCCCTGAGTTCTGCAAGTTCCCCCCCAAGAGTCAGGCTGCAGGGGGATGGTATCAGGAGCTACTAGGGTGTGTGTCTCGCTGGTGCCCTGTCCTCTGGCTTGGCACCTAACTCTTTAGTGTGAACCACACAGAACCGAGTTGAACAGGAATCTTCAGAACAGTGACAAACTTTGTGTCTGCTCTCTGGATTGTAGGGACTGGAGACTAGAATAAACAGCTGCCTCCATAAGTTTTGTGGAGAGGCGCTGTGCCCAACTTGTTGCTACAGCTGTTGCTATGGAAACCAGCTGTGTATAGGTGTAGCATCAGCTTCATCTGGTTCTCTACCTCCACTTGCGTTGCTGCAGGAGCCCACTCAGCCATTAAGTGCTGACAATCTTAGGCAACCCCTGACCACAGTGGGCAAGAACTGGAGATTGAAAATGTCTCCTTCCCATGCCAGGATGGGACAACCTCAGGCTTCTTCTGTGGCCTTCCTTAGTGGGTCCCTAGCAGGATAAAGCCCTAAGTTGCCAAGGGCAGTACCCCGCTCAGTAACTTGCTTTCCTTCCTGGGTTCACTCTGTCCAGGTCCCACTCCATTCCTTGGAATTGTGTTCCCAAATGACCCTCCTGTGCAGAGTCCTTGTCTCAGCTTCTCAGGAAATGCTGGCCGAGACATCTGCTGATCTATTTCAAATAACATTATCAGGTGGGATACTTACTTTGTTAGGTGGAAATTATTCTTAGGAAATGTGTCTTGGAGGCTGCATCTTGGAAACACTGAGATCTGAGTTGGGACATTATGTTGGAAGGAATCGCATGACCTTTGAAGTTCGTTTGTGAAGGACCGATCCCCCTAATTCCCACGAGTGATGATTAGGATGCTTTCTGTAGACATGAACGCATGATAAACACAAAGACAATTCCCTGAGAGTGGAATGACAATACCGCAGACTCGGGTTCAAGTCTACTGAAACATCAGAAACTAGCTACAGGGCCCAGATGCAGTGCCTTGTGGTCACAGCAAATTCTGTGCTCTGCAGACTTGAGAAGATGAAGGCAGTCAACAATGGGGGGTATAAAAATGTTCAAAATTAACATTTATTCCACAGTCATTATAGAAGACATTATTCTTAATCATGGGATTACAATGTACAACAATGAATGGAGGGTGAACCTCAGGACAGTTGGGGGCTAGTGGAGGCATCATCTCCGACCGCATGGGTTTGCCGTCAAGTAGCCTGGCTGACCACAGACAGTTAGTAGGTCTTTGTTGCTTGTGAGTTTTGCCAAACCCAATGGTCTGTAAGGGTGTGGTGGAAGGAATGACAGCTGGTATGTGACTACCAGTGTCTTTTTTTGCCTTGAGGAGTTAGGATGATTCATATCCCCAGTAACTGGGAGATCATGCTGTCATCTTGTTGGTGTAGAGGGCAGGGCGGGGGCCAACCCCCGGGAGACCTTTATGTGGGAACAGTGGAAATGAATTCAGGAGCCTTTGGGCTGTATGGCTTCATTTGTTTATATCATCCCATTAAGTGATTAAATAAGCAGGTTTTCTATGAGGTCTGAAAGTGCAGTGACTATATGAAGTGCAGGTACAGAAGAAGAGGTTAGTCGCACCTAGCGTGTCAAAGTCTAGCGTGGGCCGACAGGGAGTGCTGGGGCTGCTGACAGTTTTCCCTTTTGGAGGGTCAGGGGGCCACAAGGAGGGTTTCATTCTGCAGAGTGGGGACAGTGGCGAGCACCTGTGGATGGATGACAAGTGGATATTTGGTACAAGAGCTGGTGCTGGATTCCTTTGGCGGCCTTTTTGTTTGTTTTTAAAGAAAAAAATGAAATCACTTTTCGGGTCAGCACCTGAGGTAATAAGTTAAGCACCAAAGTGGCCGCCCAGGCTGAATGTGGACCTGCAGAGGAGTGCACCAGGTGGGGCAGCGCCCGGGAACCGGCGCATCATAGGTTCTTCATGCACACCTGGCAGCGGCTGATGTGCGTCCGGATGAGTCCTGCCTTGAGCGTGTCGGGGGAGGGCGAGCCTTGGAAGTTCTGCTCGGGGATGGTGGTGAGCCAGAAGCTGTACTTGTTGGCGAAGTAGTGGCAGGTCCCACGGCCTCCATTGCACTCGATGAAAGGCGTGGCACGGAAGTCCTCCAGACAGCTGCCAGGTGACATCAGCGACTGGCCACCGCCTTCATCGCCTGCGGCAGTGTGCTGTGGAGCAGGAGAGAGGGGCAGGGCTGTGAGCACTTGGGCTGGGGAGAGCCCGGCCAGACGGTCATTGATGCGCTTCTCTCCTAAGTGAAAATGGCTGTGAACATCTATCTGCGTCAACACAGACCACCGCTTGCCGCATACGCTTTACTACTAGGGGCTTGGCTAAATAAATCAGGGTAGACATGCAGAAGGCAGAGCTGGGTACCAGGCATACTGCAGGGGAGGGTTCATGGACAGTCCTGATTTGTTATTAAGTGACAACTAGAACAAAAGCAAAAGCAGGTTCTAATCAGTAACACAGTTGACTACATTTGGGGCCAAAAATATCACCTCCCCAACCATCCATTCAAAGAATGAAACATTTGCCAGGCAGAGGGGATACCGAAATGTTAACTTTTGTTTTAAAGGAAAAAGAAAATTAGGATATGGGTCAGCATCTGAGGGTAAGTTAAAAATAAGCAATCCCTCCAAAAGTGACACCTCCCCCTACTCCTCTGCTAACCTTTATGAAGAAGAAGGAAGTAAGTTTGAGTGATTTTCATTAGTTTCCTTTTTAGAAAATCTCTGCTTGCTGAATTTTCCACAATGAACATGTACTACTTGTGCAATTTCTTTTATTCAGAGGACTGTTAATTAAGTAATTAATCCCTTGAGATGATCGAGCAGCTCGTGGCTGGGAGACTAGGACAAGTGTCAGATGGAGTTTTCTTTGCCACCTTCCAGTTCTTGTTTTGTTTGTTTCACATTTTTAGCTTCTGTGAAGGGGCATGGCAGGCCCCTAGACCTCAAAGCTAATCCATTAAAAAATGTCACTTGGCTTGGTTGAGCAAGTTTTGAGTGGTGAGCGGGTTGTCAGGACCTGTTAATCTAGAACAGGAATACCTCAGCTGCAGTTTGCAGAGAATAAAAGAGGCTGTCCTGTGATGTATTTGGGCAGGGACCAGAAAAAACCAAAAACCTTTGAAAAGTTTTCTGCTCACAGAATGCAGAAGCCTTTCTAACCCAGAGCTACCATGTTCTTGTTTACTGTAAATGGGCTGGGAGAAGCAGACATATCTTCCAGAGGCATCTCAGGCTCCACTTTGGTCTGCGAGGGCCAAGGCCATCCTGGGAGCTGCCCAGGTGGTCTTGGGAAGGACCCCCCAGAGGAGCCTCCTGGGGCTGCCGGGATGGGGCCAGGAGGAAGCGCCAGGCTGGAAGCCCCAGAGCTGTGAGCAGCCAAGCTGAGCAAGGGCTCTGAGTTTCTGTGAATCAATTTATACGTTATGTTATTAATGTAATGTATGAAATATTTAACACATTGGACATGCAGTCATGATAGCTGGAGCTGTGACAGTCATAATCAATATAGATGACATAGAAGACCCACCACCCCCACCGGACTCTCCTCTCTCTCTACAATGGTGGAGTTAAGTAGTTACTTCCCTAAATGTTAAACTAAATGTCAACTGGCCAGAACTTAGCAGCCTGTTTTATACCCAAAGGTGATCTGACACTGGTATTCCAGGATTTTCCTCATCAGTATACACATACCTGCTTTAAACCAACCAGCTACTGGAGATTTCTTGAGGGCATTCTAGGTTCTAGATAGATTCTACAGTAAGCTACTTAGGATTCTAGATAAAATTCTTCCCTATGTTTAGCTTTCAGATAAACCAGAAGGCCTTTACCTTTGGTGTTCTCCTTAGGAAGGTGGATAACAAGCCAAATTCATCCTAATTACAAAGGCTGGCTGGCAAATGAATGGGTCCCCTCCGGGTGGAGGCAGCCCCAGGCTGAGGCACGTAGCTCAGTCAACAAAGTGCAGGCAAAAGTGCAGGCTACATTCCAGGTCTCACTCGCCCCCTCACTCACTCTTGTTCAGGTGCACAACCTGAACAGCTGGCTGATTATTCTTACAAAGGCAGCTGTTCTTGCTGCTTCCCCATCTGGGTGTAGCTGGGGAGAGGAACTAGATTTCTACCTGGCTCTATGTTCTGAGAGAGTGCTGGCAAGTACCACATACCATGAGGAAGGAATATCCGATCCACAAGCTCCGCCATCCAGCTGGGCAGTGGGGGATGGAGACATCTTGACTGTGGACTGCTATGGCGACGGCTGGGGCCTCGCACACGGAGCAGCGGCTGATGTAGGGCTTGATGTCGTCCTCCGCCACAGGCATCATAGGCAGCGGGGCAGTGGTGGAGAGCCAGTAGGACTTGTCATTCCGGCTGGCGTAGTAGCAGATGTCCCCAGGGTTGCAGTACAGGAAGGGCATGGTGCTGAACCGAGCCAGGCAGGAGCCTGCCAGCCCTGCGGAAGGAGGTCACAGCTGAGTGTGGCTGAGAAGCTGCTCCCCCAGGTCCGGCCAGGCTCAGGAGGTCCCAGGCCAGGGACCTGCCCCAGTGGCCATTTGGAGGGTGGGGACCAAGCCATTTATCCTCTTGGGGGGGTACAGACTACCCTGGCACTTGAACTCTGCCCTTGTAGATGTTCTTGCACACACCTCTGGACTGAGCTGGGTCAGCAGGGAGCGCCGTGTTTACGAATAGCACCCTGGGTAAGGCCCATGTTGGGGAGTCTTACAGCACTAGCCCCAGGGAACCCCTGATGGCATCCACGATGGGGGCCTAGCTCACCACACCCCACGATGCCCTCCCACAAGGAACTCTGGCCACTTCACCTGCAAATAACTTTATTGCTTCTGGGAAAAAAATCAACTCTTTCTTATGACTGGAGTGAATGAGCTGAGCAGAGTTCCCTTTTCTCACTGACTGCTCACGTGTTTAGAGCCAAATGTACGCTCCACCTTCCAGAGCCTTGGCTGCCTTGTTGGCTCTGGTCCTAGCTCTTTCTTAGGCCTTTTCCCTTGTTTGTTTTGCCCCATTTTAAAGAAAGCTTATTATGCAAGTAGAACATATAGATAGGAATGTGCACAAATCATCAGGGTTCAGCATGACAGGTTTCCCCAGTCATTGTCCCCACCATAGACACCACAGGCTAAGGCACCCTCCCTGCACAAGCCCCAGCTTTTAATGCATGCTTGCTACATTTTCTGTGTGCTTTTAAGTGATTTTAATTTCTTTTGGCAACCAGGCTTACTTGAATAGATGGAGCACACGGATCCACATATCCTTTTTCCTGGGGCTTCTATGTGACTCCCAGGCCCCCCTGGCCCTCGCCTGTTTACAGAACTTGGGGCAAAAAGCAAGAAGGAGGTGCAACAGCTGGTGGCCTTCAGGCAGAGAGGGGCCAGCACAAGGCTGGGTGTCACAGGAGCCTGTGGAAGGTGCCGGCCAGTTAAAGGCAGGTCTCCATGGTCCTGACCGAGGGCATCAAAGGCCATTTTAATCTTTTCTGAAATCCCAGGGATGTGAATGGGCCCAGTGCCTTTGATGAGGAGAACCTCATCTGCCTTAGAGGATCATGGACCTCACTTTGGCCACTTGATCTTGACCATCTCCAGATGAGCTGGCCTCGGGGGCCTGATGGGTGGTACCTACCCAGGTCCTGGTTGTGGGCTTTCTCCTGGCCTTCGAAGTACAGCAGGCTGTATCCACTCCAGAGCTTGTTCATGCCCACGGGGCACATGGGCTCCTGGTCTGTCTGGCTGTGCTTCACCAGGAGGTAGCCAATGCTGACGCTGCGCCCAGGCATGCCGGGGAGGCCGGGGGTCCCTGGGCGGCCTGGCTCCCCTAGGGTCCGCAAGAAAGCAGCCACCTTTTAGCTGTCATGTAGACCTCAGCCCCCAGCTCTTGGCTGACACCACATGGTGACATTTACAGTGGTCGCTTGGCTTTTTTCCGAGGCTGGCATGTCAGCGGCTCTGCTCTTGTAGACCCAGAGTACCCTGGGGAGGACCTGACCCACATCCTCTGCTCAGGAAGCATGGGATGATGACAAGGAGGGCACTGAACAAGGGCACAGACTCAGTCGGCCTCGTGACCTTTCCCCTCAAGATACACTGATGCTGAGCGAGAACTAGAACACCTAGAAGGGTCCCCAGGTGTATTTAAGTTCAGCCTCCCCACCCCGTGAAAAACAGGCCTCCTCTACCCCAAGCATCCCTTCCAGGACACTTGTGGAGAGGTGGTTCAATTCACACTTGGGCCACCCTGGGGTTAGAAATATCCACTCGGGGGGCTGGGTTCTCTCCTCAGAGCACAGAAGAACGTCTCCCCTGCCTTCAACAGGACAACTCTTCAAGTGTTTGAAGTCGGCTGTTCCGGTTGATCATGCCTTCCCATTCCCCACCCCCTGCAAGGACGTTTGCACATCTCATCGCTTTCTCATAGGACACCCTCTATCCTGTGCTGTCCCGGGTGCCTAGCCTGGATGGCGCCTATCTATCCATAAGTGTCTTCAGGTGTGCACCCCCCATGTTATCCAGTCTGGCCATCGGCGAATCCATCTGGAGGGGAGTTGATTGCTATATCCTGAGATCTGGGAGCTGATAATGCAGCCTCATACCATACTGAGCACAGGTGGATGATAAATCTCAAAAAATTTTTTTGGGCATGACATGCTATCATTTCTGGCCTATTCCTTTCTGTACAAGTACAAATAATTTTAAGAAATCAATTTTACAATGACTCCTGTTAATCTAATTGATTTCTTTCAGCTCATTGTCTCAAGCCTTGTGGTCTTTCCGAATCTTGTCTCTCAAGCATGTCAACTGCTTCCTTCTCTGAGGCCCCTGCACGTGTCTCAGAGGAAGGGACGACGCCAGCCTGTCCTGGAGACTCTGTGCCAGGTGTCCTGCTCAGGTGCCCTGCTGGGTGCAGGTGTTTTTGGGGCACATCCAGGACCAAGGCTGCAGTGAGGGTCCTAGGAGCCGAGCTGGCGTTTTGGAGCAGAAGGGGGGCAGCCTCTTATCTCCGCTTATCTCAGCACGTCCGTCTGTGCTCACCACAGTCCCTCGGTCAGACCACCAGCGGGGCCCGGAAGAACGCACCGCCCACTGCCCCCTTTCCTCGCCCATCACTTACCCTCCTGGCCGACGGGCCCCTGGTGCCCCACAGGTCCCTGCTCTCCTCGGAATCCGGGCACGGCAGACACACCGCCTCTTCCCTGGGTCCCTGCCTTTCCTGGAGCCCCGCGTAAACCTGCACTCACCAGGACAGGTGTGAGGGCCATGGAAAGAGTGACATCGGTGCTTAACAAATGCTTTCAGCAAGGAAACAAAAGTGAAAACAAAGCAAAGAAGGAAGGAGCCTTTTCCTTGCGGCTCTACAGCAGGACTCCTACCTGGTTCTCCTGGGGGACCCTGGGGTCCCATCTCTCCCTGTGCCCCCGGGGGGCCTCTCCTTCCCTGTGGGCCCATTGGCCCAGGCTGGACAGTAATCTTCTGGGGGATTCCTGCAATCCCTGGGGATCCCAAAGCACCGGGGGTACCTGGAAAGGGAAAAGGAAGGCCAGTTGACACAGGGGACCACTTGCTTTCTTTCTGTGATTTCTATCCTTTTTTCCCCCCCTAACCTGTTGAAACCAACTTTGGAGCTTTCTAGAACAATCTGACCTTTAGAGATGAAGACGGGTCATAATAACTCATCTGAGAGGCTGCTCAGTGCCTTCCCTTCCAAGGGTTACTTTCATTCCCCCGTGGGAGTGTCTGCAGACCCCATCTTGCTTTCCTCTTTGAAATTTAGGGTTTGGGTCACAGAACCAAGACTGACTTTAGGGGCGTCCCCGTGCCTGGAGGGGCAGGAATAGTTCTGAAGTCGACTCCTGGTGGCAGCCGATCTAAGGAGACAGCTCTGCAGCTGTGCTGATGGCCACTTACCCGGGAGTCCTCGGTCTCCTTTGGGTCCCTTCGGGCCTCGGTCGCCCACGCTTCCCGTGGGTCCTATGTTCCCCATGAATCCTTGCTCGCCTCTGGGCCCTTTGAGACAAGCAGGACACTGAGCACACTTGCCTGGGTGGGGGCTCCGGTCATCTCTGGCCACTGCTGCCAGCCTCCCAGAAGACAGGAGCCCTTCGTGTGGGCACAGTTACCTCTTTCTCCTGGGAGACCAATCACACCAGGCCGGCCCTGGGGTCCTGGGTCTCCAACCCATCCTTTGGTGCCTGGGTTTCCTGGAACTCCTGGGTACCCCACATCTCCTTTGCTTCCAGGAAGAGCAGCCGGCCCAAGTGGTCCCGCGGGGCCTGGATAACCTATTGACAGGAGTCGCAAGCAAGGAGAGTTTAACCAGGGGAAGGCGCAGTCGTGGCCACGGGGAGCAGGACTCCTGGAGCCCGGGAGGCTCTCAGGAGGCCAGTTAGAAAGTCGTCTGCTTAGGGGATGGTCTTTGGCAAGTCTGTAACACTGGGTGACTTTTTTCTTTTTACTGGGGTAAAATATAGGCAACACAAATTTGTCATTTTAACCACCCTAAGTGTACGGTTCAGCGGCATTAAGTACATCCACACTGTTGTGCAATCATCGCCACCATCCATCGTAGAACTTTTGTATCATCCCAAACCGAAACCCTGTCCCCATTAAATATTAACTCATCTCCCCTCCCCCAGCCCTGGCAACCCCCATTCTCTTCTCTGTCTCTGTGAACTGGACTCTTCTAGGGACCTCACAGGGGGGGAAGTGTGCAGCGTTTGGCCTTTTGTGTGTGCCCCCAAGAGATTCCGATGCGCGGAAGTCTGAGCGCTGCTTACCTTTCAGGCCAAATATCCCTGCTGGCCCTTGGTCGCCAGGCAACCCAGAAATGTTGGAAGGAGGCGTGATGCCTGGAAACCCCTGAAGTCCTGGGCTCCCAACTGGGCCTCGTTCCCCTTAGGAGGGAAATAGAAGGAGTTGCTTTTAGTATCAGCAGCTGACTTTTTAATCTATTGTTTCCCTTACACACTCACCTGTCCAGGACCACAGCCACCAAGGAGAGGCAGTGATGGAAAGGGCCCTGAGGCTATGGAATGTCGAACACAGCTCTTGGGGTGGGTACAGGGAGGCGGGGGCCTTGTGGCCCCCACGCCCACCAGCCCCATCTGCTGTCGAGAGGGTCGCTTGGACCCACCTCTGCTGGGACCTCGTCCCATAGGGACTGCCAGCGTGGCTACGTGTGTGACACCTCAGGCCTGCTGTGACGGCGTCACCCGAGAGGTATTGTTCCTCTCAGGAGGTGTGTGGCTCCGCTGGCCCTTGTGATGGGACAGAAGTTTCTAGTATTGGCGAGATGAGGCTTCTGCACTACATTGGCTATTCTCCCTGTGGCTATTCTTCAGTGTCCGGGGTCCCAGCTATGGGCAGAGTCCATCCTCATCGCTCACAAAGCCTGTATTTGCCATTGGCCTACTCACTAAGGTTGATCGGTGTCTCCAGATCAATACTTGTGGCATTCCTGGGCAAGCAGGAGAGACAGAATATTTGAGTCCTAGCTGAGGTCCCTGATTCAACTTAGAATGCAAACAGCATCCTTTTTATGTCTATTTAGTGTCAGGTTTTTTGCACGTTTGGGCTTCTTGGTGGTTTCACTGTTTACACTGGCCCCCAAGCATTGCGCTGAAGTGCTGTTTAGTGTTCCCAAGCTCACACAGGCTGTGAGGTGCCTCATGGAGAAAACGTGTGTTTCGATGAGCTTCCTTTAGGCTTGAGGTCAATGTTAATGAATCAACAATTTACAGTGAATAAGGTGTTTTTAAACAGAAATACACATAAAACAAGATTATGTACTGATCAGTTGATGAACATTGGGGCTCGCAGGAACCAAACCCTGCCTTTCCACCAGAGTCCCTCGGTTCCACATCTGCAGCAGGTAACTGCTGCAAGGAACAAGAGTCGACGGTATTTGAGTCCAGTCTGGAGCCCTCTGGCAGGAACAGAGGACGAACCACGGAGGACAATCCTCACAGGAGGAAATCTGTGGGAATCCCGTCCCTCCCTGTGCTGCAGCCAACACGACGTCGATGGGCCCATCCGTGCCAGGCGGGCGGGGTGCTGCCCAGGCGGTGGCAGGATAAATGGCCCGCAGGGAAGGAGACCAGTTTCTCCCTTAAGTGCCACACTAGTATTTGCTTTCCCTCAAGGTCTGGGGACTCAGAGATTGGGACTAGAACGCTGCAAAAAATCAATGTCAGGGTATCCAGGGACCATCATCTCTAATGTAGAGGAAGGAGTGAGTTGGGACAACACAGTGAAAATTTGTGAGATGTGGTCTCTGCATCCTCCATGTGGCTTCACAACTAATCGCTATTCATCAACAACAGGAAAAGACGTTCCCATTGGGAGGCTGTGGTACCTAGCATGGGGGACGGGACCCTGTTCATGCAGCTTCCGGGCGGTACAAAGAAGCAGATACCAGGGGAAGCATTTAGAAAGGTGTTGCCCTGGTCTTGCCAATGACAGGCCGAAGCAAGTGCGTTTACTAGACTGAGGGGATTAAACAGCCGCCATCTATAATTTGATATAAAATGATACCAAGTGAGCTGCTTCTAACTATTGTCACAAAGAAAGTAAAACAGATGGTGAGTGGCAGTGACTAATGGCAAAAACTCTTGAGTTAGAAGATCCAGACTGGCCAGGTTCCCACAGAAACATGATGAACTTAATTAACTACAGTGAGTAGGCCTCTGTTGTTGAACACGTGGAACAAGCAGGAATTAGTTTGCTGTGATCAGGGTCAAAATAACTCCATTTTCTTGGTGGCCCCCATGAATCTTCCTAAGTACTGAAATAAAAACCGTTGTTTAATGAAAGTTTGATGAAAGGGCCATCTTGCGAAACTCAATGACAAATCATGATCCAAAGCCTGAACAGAAATACTTGAGGCTGCAAATTTGAGCTTCTGAAACTCATGCAAGGGATGACAACAGGCTGACATTATTTCCCTATTCTTAGAGTGTGACTTCTGACCAGCCATCTGCAAATGTCACGAGTGGAAGTCACCTTTCCTTATCCACAGCGGCCTGGTGGACACAATAAAGGGTCTGTTCTGGCCTCTAGGACCACTCAGAAACCCCCAGATCACTGGGTACTGTGACTTTCACGTAGGACGAGGGCCTTGTAAGGGAATAACAGATTTAAAAAAGAGACACTATGCTTCAGGACTCTTTGGGAGCCTGAGGTATGTCCCACATCCCCTTGACGGAGTAGGAGCTGCACAGTACAACCAGAGAGTTCTGAGAAACTAATGCTGCACAGGTGAACGTGTAATAGGGCTATTTCAGGTAATTTAGAGGTATCTTGGAGCATGCGTAGCTTTTTCAATGGAGGTCAAAGAGAGTTACCCTACAGTTTCACAGTATTTAGCCTTGAACAAATATTGAGCACTTACTCTATGCCAGGCATTTAGCTGGTATATCCACAAAGGAATGAAAGAGAGCTAGTTCCCGCTCTTATGGAAACTGTTATCTCTTGTCATCTGCAGAGTCTGAGCAGCATGCTACATGAATCAGATATGAATACATGGGGTGTGATATAGATGTTGTGATGTTTTGCGAGTGCTGCCTGTGGGCCAGGATTGCATGCACTGCGTGGAATCAAGGTCTCTCTTCCCTCTCTTCCTACCATGCTGAGTCTCATCTCTACCCTCGAGGGACTCTTGGGGCAGACAGGTGAACTGACAAGCAAGACTCTGTATCTCTCCCACTCTGGCCACCCAACAACATACTGGGTTCCAGCTATGCCAACAGTAATGCTGGGAGTGTCTAGCCTCACCTGGAGCTCCTCGCTCCCCTTTTTGTCCTGGGGCTCCGGCACGGCCTGGAAGGGTGTTGGCCTCTCCTGGCTCCCCCCTGTCCCCAGCAGGACCTGGGAAACCTGGGTCTCCATGGATGTCTTCACCTGCGGCAGGGTTAAACAGAGGCGACATCAGCATCTTCAGCCACGCAAAGTGAAAGAACAGGAATGCTCTTCAGTGTGACTCAAATATAGAAGACCAGAAGGCAGTTGTGGTGATTTCAGCTTACTGTGTGGCCTCGGTGTCCCACAGTCTGAGACTGGTACACCATTGCTTTGAACTGATTGTGTCCCCAAAATTCCTATGTTGAAGGCCTAATTTCCAATGTGATGGTTTTTGGAGGTAGGGTGTTTGGGAGGTGACTGGGTTTAGATGAGGACACAAGAATGGGCCCCATGATGGGATGAGTGTTCTTATGAGACTCCAGAGAGCTTGTTTTCTCTCTCCACCATTGGGGCATGGCGAGAAGGTGGCCGTCTGCCAGCCAGGAAGAGGGCCCTCCGCAGAACCAGGCCCTACTGATGCCTAGGTCTCGTACTTCATCTCCATAACTGTGAGAAATAAATGTCTGTTGTGTGGACCGCCCCACCCCCCCGCCCCGCGCCGTCTGTTTACTGCAGCCCAAGCTGCCTAAGACAGTGTTATCTGTTTCAAAGTACAAGCACAGCCCCAGGACAGGCTGGGCACCAGCTGTCTTTCCTTTGTCAATGAAATGCAAGACTACAGATGCTGCTGAAAAAGCAAGACCTTTGCTTCTTTCTCTCCAAAAGTCTGATGGGCCTGTTCAACACAACCTCTGACTGAAGGGGATAGATTCTCAGGGATCACACCTCTGTGGTCTGCAGAACCACAGGGATCCCGAGTCCACATGGCCTCAGGGATGATCGAGCAGTCCTCACGGGGCTGTCCTGCTCTCTGAACTGCTCCCACCACAGCCTGCATCCTAGATGGCCCTCCCATTCCCCCATCCCCCACCCTCTGCTGGTTATGGCTGTGTGGCTGTGTGGCCCTGTGCCTGCAAATGCCGTGGGTACCTGGGGATCCTGGAGAGCCTTTGGTGCCTGGCAAGCCGTGTAATCCACCAATGCCTTGGATGCCTGGTAAACCTGTGTGGGTTTCACTCATGGTTATTTCATGCATGGGAGAGCAAAGAAAACAACCCTTACACTAATTCATACATGTTTTCATTTGCTATGATATGGTCACCCATCCGATTTATTCAAACCCCCCACAAACAGGAAGCAGTCCAGCGTATAGTCTGACATGTAAATGAGTCACTTCTATGTCACCTGCGAGAACCATTAAACTTAAACTTTAAATCTTTAACTTAAAGATTGATTTCCTAAAATCCTTATAGACTCATTAGAGCCAGGAGGGAGCTGAGGCATGGTTATTCTGTTTCTCTTCTTGGAGCTTGAGTCACTGGACATATTTGGTTTCTAAAATTTGCCTGGGACCAGTAGCCTGGCATTAGGTCCATTTCCTCTGGATTCTCGAGGACAAGTGTTTCTAAAGTAGGACGAGGGACACAGGCGGCAATTCTTCCTGTGATGTAGCATTGTGGAGCAACAGAGCAGCTGAGGACTCACCCATGACCATGGGCCTGGCCAGCTTTGATCGGGGGCCCTTTCAGGTCACCCAGGACCTGTCCCCTGAGCAGTGGCCTGTCCAGGTCAGGTGCACAACTCTCTAAATCCCGCCGAGGGCTCCACCAGACCCCTCTCAGTGGGAAGCCTGGAAGCCTGTGGTGGAACAACGTCATGTCTGTCCCTCTGGCCCCTCCTTTGCCTTTGCCCGTGTGCTGACCAAGGAGTGGGCCCTAAGGCTTCTGGGCAGTTTTCACTCATTGTTCTGGGCGGGGAGCCCCTCTGCAGATTGACGGTCTGTCTCTCTCCCGATGGGCTTGGGCAGCTGCAGACCCGGTTCTCGGCGTGCTTTGTGGGGACAGTAAGTCTCGCACACCTCTGCCTTTTCCCTCACACAGCCTTACAGAAAGCAGTGTGGAGAGAGGCCAACCTGGCTAATGGGGCCTCTCCTCGACTGGCAAACCTGTTTTTGAAACACTCTGTACTTGTGTCTGTGAAGAGGGAATGGTCTTACCTGGTAAGCCTGGAATACCTGGCCAGCCATAATCTCCTTTCTCGCCGGGCACTCCAACCCGGCCAGGGTCTCCTTGCTGCCCTCGCAGGCCTGCCTGTCCTGGAAAGCCTGGGGACAGGGGGACACATCCACAGGTTGAACACAGGAACCCTGAAGACCTTGGGAGAGGCCTACCTGTCTGGCCTCCACGTCCTGCCTGGATGGGACAGCAGGGGGTGCTTTTCGGGAAAGGACCAGCTTCCCTTCAAGCAGAGAACACATGTGGCTTTGGACCCCACATTCAGTTTTAGTGGGGTTACCTCAGCCTTGCCAAAGAGAGAACAGCTTGTGTTTTTTTAGTCGCATCCTATCACCCAAATATAACTTTGGAGGGAACCCACGAAACAAGCCCTTCAGGATTAGTCTGTCAGAATCACAGTTCCGGGGTGAAAAGTAAAACAAAACAAAAGCAGCAATAAACCAAAAACCATGGAACTAATTCACAGTTTGCTTTCTGTCATGAACTTGGGTCCCCAAAGGAATTTCTACTTTTGCAAATTCATGAAAGAGAATCCACAACAAGAACTTAATCTGTGTTTAGGGAGAGACAGACACTGGGCCACCCAGCCCCCCCACCCCCCCAGCTAGGTTGATTGTTTCCGTGCGTTTGGTCCTAAGGCAGAGCGAGGTGAATGGGCAACATGTAGGAGCCAGCTTCCTAGGGTGAGGTGTGATTATAGCAGACAGGTCCTTGGTGAAACTGGCTGCCTTTGTTCTGGGGTATTGGAGGTTTGGAGGCTCAGTGGTACTCTGCCCGGCCGGCCGCTGCACCGTTAAGCCATGCCCAGGGGAGTGTGTGTGCTGGAGGAAGTCTGTGTGACTCTAAGAGATTTTACCTGTTTGCCCTGTAAGACCAGGAGGGCCTTGGGCTCCTGGTATGCCTGTTATCCCAGGGAAGCCGATGTCACCTTCTGCTCCTTTCTCTCCAAAGAATCCCTTTAGACCTGTAACCACAGATTTACTGCTTGGAACAAACCACAGACATTGCATCAAATTGGGGCTTAATGCTTGTAGGGTTCAAGGGGGTGCAAGCTGAAGGGTGCTTCCACACCATCCTTGGCACTTCTGTTGTGAATGGGGCTGAGCATCTAAAGATGTACCTTCATCAACTAATTTTTAACCTAATTCTTCCCTCTGAGCCTGTGTTCAGCAGCCTGCAAGCTGGCACGTTCTGGTAGTCACACCCTCATGCAGTTTCCTCCCACACTGAATAGGGCACCAGCAGGACACTGTGGAAATCATGGTGTGTCACTTCAAGCCCAGGACATAAAATTCACCCTTACTTTCCCTTTGTCATCCCTCTTGGACCGCTTGCTCTGCAGGAAGCCCCGACAAGTTGTGAGGACACCCAAGCAGCCCTGAGAAAGGCCCTTCTGTTGAGGAGCTGAGGCCTCCCGCCAAGAGCCATGTGAGAGCGCCACCTTGGAGCGGATTCTCCAGCCCCAGCCCAGTCTTCAGAAGATGCGGCCCTGCTGACCTCACGACTGGAATCTCACGAGGGACCCACGTCAGAACCACCCTGTTCCCGAATTCCTGGCCCTCAGAAAACGTGTGAGATAATACTTGCTTGCTGATGTTCTAAGCCACTGTATTTTGGGTACCCTTCTTAAACATCAATAGATAACTAATCAAAGCCCTTATTAGAGTGTTTAAAAAAAAAAAAACAACCTTTGCCTAAGGATATGTATATTGATTTTAGAGAGAAAAGAAGTGAAAGAGAGAAAGATCAATGTGAGAAACACCACTCTGTTGCCTCCTGTATGCACCCTGACTGGGGATCAGACCCACAGCCTAGGTGTGTGCCCTGAACATCAATGGAACCTGCAGTATTTTGGTGTATGGAATGATGCTCCAACCAAGCCACTCGGCCAAGATCTGAGCGGTTTCTAATATGTAACGTGCCATGGAATTCTGGGGGATTTGTTGAACATGCAGATGTTTCAGCTTCTCCCAGAGGTGATTTAGCAGGTCTGAAGTAAGGCCTGAAATCTGCATTTTAACAAGCACCTGAGGTGGTCATTGGGCAGACATAAAGAAGTGCCACCTTCACGTTAGTGACAATATTCTCTGTCCAATGTTTTGGTGATTTCTGGTATTCTGGAAGATTTCAACACTTCAGACTGACCTGAATTCCACACAATCACTTTTGTCCAGTGTTTTTTTAAATCTATGAAGCTATTGCATAGACAAAATACTACTAATGTTTTTGTGGTCTTGAAGAAAAACCACCTAAGAAATTTTGCTTATTTTTTATTGATTCTTTGACTGCTTTGAAAATCTCCTCAAAACCCTATTTACCCAATGCATCTTCTTTCATAACTGCTGCCATCATCTCCTTTCAAATTGAGTGAGTCCAAAGTAGCTTGTCACTTTGTCCTCTGAGAGACCGGGCCTAATCCCCAGCTCCCCAAAGCCTCCCATGTCTGGGAGCTGATCTGACCCAGGTCTCCACACCCACTCCCTCTGCTGTACAGGGCAGGCTCTGTGGTCGACCTCACTCAGGCACACTCGCTTGTCTTAGGGTGAACGGGACACCTCCAGGGATGGTTGATAAACTGCCACTGCCCCTCTGTCCCTGTGATACAGTTCCCTGGCGACGGGCAGAGTGGGAGGTTCTATTTCCTGGGCCCACAGCTAAATGACAACCTAAACATCCAGGGGTAACAGCCATAATTCTTGGGGGAAAGTAACTTCTCTTCCGGGACACATTTTCAGTTGCACAAATGACATGTGGCAAAGATGGTTTCACATTTCTGCTATTATAAACCAAACTGCCAAAGTAATTATTTAGGACAGGAGATCCAGCCAGCCAAGAGCCAGAAGGCTCAGCAGACTGGGCTACCCTGTGACTGAGGAGAGTCATCAGGAAACCAAATTCTAGATCCACGTGAGTCCAGTGAGGCTAGTAGATGAGGCTGCCCAATCCTGAGTGGTAGCCTTCTGATCCCATGCTAGCCTGATCCTCCCTTTCCATTCTGGAGCTCATTTTAGATAAAGAACCAGTGTAGCATCCTCCCCATTGGCCAATCACATGAACAGAGTCTTCCCGCCCCTCCACCAGGATTGTCCCTAGAAAGACTCGGTGCTCCAGGCACCTTAAGCAGTGTGGGGCCCCCGAAGATAAGATCCGCAGAAGAAGGCATTATCCTATCACTTGGTGATAGGATATTCCAAGTCCCTTGGCATATGATTACAGGCAGGACTTTTGACCTAGAACTTCAGGGATGCTCTGAGAAGAGGAATGAGCGCCTGTGCCACATGAGGCCCCCCAGTGCACACACGGCTGGGGAGCTACCCCTTCTTGTCTCACTCAAGAGATGGGCCCGACTCCTACTGAGCTTTCTTCTCGACCCGTCACTGTTTACAAGAAGCTCCAGTCACCGGATCATTTGCTTCCTGCCCTGTAATGTGTCCCAGAAGCCTGGGCTCTGCTTCTTTTCCATGACACTCATTTTATGGGCCGCATAAAATGTTGATTTTTAGGAATGTTAATTCCGACTATTTTCTCTTTCAGGAAGAGCCAGAGAGAGATTTCCTGACTTTGTCTTCAGTTTTAATTAAAAATCTCAGAGTCTCTCTTGCACGCGGGGCTTGGAGACCTCAAACCATTCCCTATAACACGATCCATAGTGCTTACCAAATAGTGATAGATTTGGCAAGCCGGGTCATAAGCGATGACACAGAGAAGGGGTCAGGGCTGTTGCTGAGAGGAAAGGCTGGAAAATGACTTAGGTACCTGGTGCTCCAGTGATGCCTCGTTCCCCCTTCAGGCCTGGGCTTCCTGGCAAATTTATAGTGTCTCCAATATCACCTGTTTGTGCCAAAAAAGAGGGTTGAGAACAGATCTTCCTATTGGGATGTGGTTAGTTTCGCAACTTCTGTTGTCCTATGTTCTTAATAATAATTTGCTTCAAAAAAACTAATAGCATCTGCAGATCGGACATCACCACATTTTCCCAGAATGCTTGGGGTTGCGGAGGCCATATTTTCCCTGTCCGAGCAACACTTACCAGTATCACCCGTGGGGCCAGCCTCTCCGTAAAGACCTGCTCTCCCTGGAGCACCCTTGTCACCCTAGAGTCAAACATAGAACCATCTTAAAAGGCTGTTCATAAAATGTTTGTAACTTTGAAGAGTAGTGTATACAACTATTTGATAGGCTAAAAACAACACCCAAGCCCTGGCTGGTGTGGCTCAGTTGGTTGGAGCACTGTGTCCTGAAGCAAAAGGTCAGGGTTTGGATTCCCAGTCAGGACACATGACTAGGTTGCAGGTTTGGTCCCCAGTTGGGGAGCATGCGAGAGCCAACTAGTTGATATTTCGCTGCCTCTCTTCCTCCCTCCCTCCCTCCCTTCCTGTCTAAAAAACAAACCTTTTTTTGTGTTGTCATCACTTTGTAGAAAACTCCTAAAGCTTTTTCAGTGCAATATAGTAGGTAGTTTGCTTACCCCTTCTTACTACATTGTAAAGTAGTAAATATGAAACAAACTTGGCAGCTTTATTGAAATTATTGGCATCACTGATACAGATCATGGTCATGATGGTGTTGAGAATAACCACGGCTGATTGCATCCTCACCTTCTGCCAGGCTCTCCATAGGTGAACACGTTGGGTCCCATCTCAAGACCTTTTTAAGTGTCAAAACAATCCTATGAAGTAGGTGCTATTATTTCTCATTTGACAGATGAGGAAATTGAGGCACTAAGCTAATTAAGCAGCAGAACTGGGATACTGATTTGGGCTGCCAGATTCCCAGACTTACTCTATATCACATGGTTATGCACGTCCATCTGTGGAGAGAGCCTTCTCCTACACGATGATCATTGCTGATAATGAGATTGTGATGATGTTTGGGTTACTCTGTGACCCCAAAGAAACCACGGTGTTACCCTCTAAAGTGCCTGCCTCTGCCTCACAGGGAGGGTGGGAGTTCTGGCCAACCTTGTTTCCTCTGATCTTTCCTTTAGCATCAACCTGGGACTTCAGAACTGCCCTTTCCTAGCATGGCTTAACTTGTGTCTCTCAATTATTAATGAAGCCCCATTTTGTGGGAGGAGTGGGGAAGATGTGCCCTTGTTTAGAAAATGCTCTATTTTTCTTTCTTAAAGCCTGCTTTATTAAGGCATAACTTACAGTGCAGTGCACTCATCTTAGATGCTCAATCAGTTCTTACTCATGTGACAACCAGATAGACAGAGGTCATTCAGCACTGTAAAAAGTTCCCCTGTGCCCTTTCCTACTCAATAATCCTGCCTCTCTTCTAACTTGCCTCTATCAAATAAGTCTTGTCATAAAGATGGAATCATATCAAATGTACTTCCTGTTTCTGGTTTATTTTGTTCAACGTAAAGTCTGTGACATTCATTTTGTTTTTGCATTTTTCAATAATTCTCATTTTACTCTTGTACACTAGTCTACTGTCTGAACATACGATGTTTGTTTATTCTCTTCCCTGCTGATGTTTCCCAGTTTTTGACTGTCACGGATAAAGCTGCTGGGAACATTGTCACATGTGTTCTTCAGTAGACACGTGCATCTTTTTGAAACTGACCTGACTAGCTGCACACAAGATGGTATGAGATCCTTTCAGCTATAGATTTTGGGAGTGATGGAAAGAAGTTGCCTGAAGAATTCTGAGGACTTCATGTACACCAGGGTAGGCTGGACAGAAGGCTAAGCCACAGCCTGTTGCTAACGGTTCACTGCAGGGTGGCCAGACCTTCTGATCTGCCCCAAATGTGCTGATCTCTTTGTGAATGCCAGAAATGGGTCAGTTGTGTGCTGAGGACTGTGAGGGTATATCTTTTAAATGAAAGGGGATAAAAAGAGAATTCCATGACATATAATTTATGGAGAGCCAGTCCATACCATGTTACATATACCATCTATACTGCACTCAACAAAACTGCCAGGAAGCTACTACCCGCATTTTATAGATGAGGACACAAGTGTGGAGAGGTGAGAGCCCTTCTTGGGTCAGGGTACACCACTGTTAGCATGGAAACATGGTGCCTCCAATATAGTGAGTGCTCGAAAGACATGTATTGAGAAAGAGTAAATGGCAGGGCAGATGTCCTCCCAGGCTATGACTCAGTACTGGGTTTTCAGTGCTGATGTCACACATGTGCTTAGTTTAGAGCTCAAATCTCTAGAAATTCAAGTTTTATTGGATGCAGACACCATGCTTCACCCAACAGAAGCCCACAAAAGGGCAGCAGTGGTATGGGTGGCACCCCGGTCACCACTGGTGTGGGCATGAGCAGTGCTTCCTTACGCTGACCCAGGGACCACGAACAGCCTGTGGCTCAAACTCTGCACCTTTGCCTTGACCACTCATACACCATAAATGCTGGGCCATGGCCCTCTGGTCAACAAGCAAGGGGACAGGAGTTGACAAGGAGATGTGGGATGAAAGGCACCCACTTACCCTACTTCCTGTGAAGCCTGGAAACCCTGTAATTCCAGGGGAACCAGGCACACCAGGGAATCCTGGCAAACCGGGTATGCCGGGCACTCCGATGTCGCCTTTGACTCCTTTGATGTAGCCGGGCCTGCCAGGCAGCCCAGGGACGCCCGACAGCCCAGGGATCCCGGGCATTCCTGGAAGGCCTGCAGGGAGACACAGAATGCGATGCCCTGGTGAGGACGCGGCATCTGCCCTCCCCAAGCTTTCGACTTTGCTGTCCCAAGTGCTGCAAATCTTAAAATGGGACGGCAAGGCTAATCAGGCCTCGAAGAACCACCCGTGAGTCCACGTGTGGAGATGTCAGGGTGTCAGGCACAGGGGCACCTCTGTGCACCTCTGGTGCAGTAGCTGCTGCTCCTTTAGACTCAGAGAGACAGGGGTGGGCATGGGGCTGGGCAGGGAGGGACAGGAACCTCCACAGGTCTGACAGCTCAAAGGTCAGACTGGGCCTTTCAGCAACACCTCACCTTTTAGGCCCAGGTAGCCCTTCAAACCCATAGGTCCTTCATCTCCTTTCTCCCCTTTAATGTCTTTCATTCCTGGCAGGATGATGGGAGGTGGTCCTGGGGGGCCTGGTTCCCCTCGGTTTCCTAGAAGGGAAGAGAATGCAGTCATTTCACCTGACCTCTAGACCAGGCGTAAAAACACAGGTTGAGAAGGACTATCAGCTGCTGCTCTCCTTCAAAACCCGAGCCCTGAGAGGCTCTGAGCGGAGGGGCGGCATGCACCTCCTGACCTGGAATCCTGAGAGTGGGAGACACACAGTGCCCGTCTTCGCGCCCTTCTCCCTCCCTTCTCTGTAGTGGAGGTGTGGGCACAGAGCACATTGGGATGGAAGGACCTGCTCTCCACAGCAATGCTGCCCGGATAACGCAGGGACAAGAGTGATAGGGTAATGCAGAATGTGAGGGAGCGTTTTTTATTTGCACTCTGGTGAGACAGCAATCGAACTGGATCACAAACTGGAAAGATGAAATGAGGAAGGACGCCAGCTCAGTGCCCTTCTTGCAGGCACCGGCTGAGCCTCAAAATTCACAACAGGTCCGCCAGAGCTGGGGAGCTCATGGAAGTAAGCAGGTGGGGTGTCACAAGGGAACATGTAAGGAGTTAATAAACTGGTCAGGGGGCTTGGGAGGCTGTAGACAAGTCAGACAATTGTGCCACAAGGTTCAGGCTGAGAATGTCCCAGAATCTGTGTTCACTGGATGAGAGGGCAGCTGGTGAGATCCATCTGAATGGAAAGAATTTAGTTTCATACACTGAACATTTATTGAGTATGTAGTGCTGGGCTAGATATGGAGGGGAACAAAGGTATAAATTGTTCCTGTCCTTGGAGAACCTGCTGTCCAGCAAAGGAACAGGCGTCCCATGTTTATTCATTCCAAGGAGGCTGGAGGAAAATGTGTAATGGAGCCAGAAAAAAAAAAAAAAACGGTGTAGAATCCAAGTGTAACTTCATTTTAAATTTAATTTTAAAATACCAGTTTTTGTTCAGTGGTGTGTAAACCCTAAGTTAACCTAAAGATTATTTGAACATTTAAGCATGAGTAGACAGCTTGGATAAAGCAGTGCCCTAGACTGTAATTTCTATTTTTCTAAGAATTTGTAAAAGTTTTAACTCTTTGAAGGACAATTATATTTCCAAAAAAACCCCAGCTTGATTGAGATATAGTTTACAAACCATGCAATTTACTCATTTAAAAGAAAAATTCAATGGTTTTTAATGTATTCAGAGTTGGGCAACCATCACCATAATCTAACTTCAGGATAATACATGGAATCAGACAATAAAGTTTGCAAGTTTTATCCATGTTGTAGCATGTATCAGTATTTCATTCACTTTTTATTGCTGGATAATTTTCTTTTATATGGATACACCACATTTTATTTATCCATGATGGATGTTTCCACTTTTTGTTATTCTAGATGCTGCTGCTGTGAACATTCGTGCACAAGTTTTTGTGTGGACCTAAGTTTTCAGTTCTCTTGGGTGCACACCTAGGAGCAGATTTGCTGGGTGACCCTACATTTAACTTTTCAGGAAACTGCCAGACCGCCTTCCACACTGGCTGTACCATTTTACATTCCTGTGAGCCGCATAAGAGGGTTCCCATTTCTCCACAGCCTTGCCCATATATTTTATTAGGAATTAAGTTTTTAGAGACAACCATGATACTTTCAGAACAAAGGTGTTTGAACAAAAGGCACGACAACGTGGCTTGTTGGTAACACACCCTGAATGAGAAGCCTCACACTTGGTGTTCTGAGAGGCCTGCTCATGCCGGGGCTTGAACCAGCCGCATTTCTGTGGGTCACAACCTCTTTGGCACGGTGTTGCATCCCTCCACCTGCAATATTGTGTCCCTCCTTTGCCAACGGCATTCCCCTCCTTTAGAATTTATTCCTTCTGCTTTTCACCTGGTCTCACCTCCCCTTGCTTACATGGAAGAACTGTGGTGGGATGGGTTTCTTATGTAGTTGGTTCTTAATGCTGCCATCACTTTGTGCTCAAAAGTTACCTTTAGTTAGAATTATTCCTCTATTATGCTGTCATTATGTGGAGGCAGGAATAAAGACTCCTGGTTTTTATTAGTTTGTTTGTGTCTTTTTAAATAGTGCCTAAGTTTCTGGACTCCTAAAAGACCCATGACAGTGAGTCTCAACTCTGTGCAAAAGACTTTAAGAGAAGCAGGCATACCTTTCACACCTGGCCAGCCATCCAGACCCTTTACCCCTGGAACTCCGAAAAATCCGGGCTCTCCTTTGTTTCCTTGAAGCCCGGGTCTTCCTTGGGACCCAAGCATGCCTTGGAAACCATCCATCCCAGGCGAACCTCTCTCCCCTGCAGAGGGAGCAAGAGAAACCCTGGGTTAGGCATGGATAAATGCATGGATATTTCAGTCTCACTCGTCTAGGACATCTCCACAGAGTAATTCACAGGAGAAGATGCTAAGATTCTTTTTGTTTCTTTGTTTGCCTGCTAAGATTCTTGACTTAAAATAGGGATTTGTGGGATACCACTTCCCAGGGGCTTGCCTGCTGACCTATGTACAGACTGAGGGGTATAGAATCAGCCCATCTGCCATCTGGCCACTGGGGAGAAGATGTAAGGCAAATGCACAGCGGTCAGGCAGAAAGACACAAGGAAAACTGGGGATCACCTAGGTCTGCGGGCCCACCGAGAAGAGGTGAGAAGCGGCACCAGAAGTTAACATGTGTTAACACCACACCCAGCATGGAGATCTGGCAAGGAACCACTGGAAAATCAGATCACTGTGTCTCCTGCAATAGTCAAAGGCCAGAGGGCTCCACTTCTAGATAAACTGGCCGCAGTGTGTGCGCAAATAACCCTATGCTGGTGACCAAGCATTTTCCTTCGTCTTGGTTCCTGTTCACCAGTCAGCCTCTGGATGTCAATCCAGTCTCCTGAGGGGCTTGTCCACAAATTCCCCCTCTGGATAATAAGTCCTGTTCCTCAGGCATTTGCTCTCTTGGTAAATCAAGAAATCAGCATTTTGGGCACTTTGGTCATACTCCTCCTAAGCAGTATGGGCCACTCTTCCCAGGGCCTGATGCCTCCCGGCGGAGAAGAGTCCCTGGCCTTCAGTCTGCAGGCCCGTGGGGCTATCCTCTCCTGGCAGAGCTGTCCCAAGTACAAGTTTAAAATGCCAGAGACCTGTGAGGTAGTTCCTTGTCATGTTATACAGTTACCTTTTAGTCCAGGGTTACCAGGCATTCCGGCTATTCCTTTAAAGCCAGGGGGTCCCGGGTGGCCTCTCTCACCCAAGAAACCATGATCACCTCTATCACCGGGGACACCTTTCATGCCCAAGGGGCCAGGGACACCTGTGTCACCTGGGTCCCCTCTATCTCCAGATAGACCTGTCCAAGAGAGGGTAAGAAAAAAACAACAGAATGAACACACCACACTTAGAGAAAATCCCTCTTATGATACTTATAAGGCATTAATTACAAAATCTTTTTTGATTAAAAAAAACTTCTTAGAAGGAAAATACAAAACTATAACTATAAAGGTGAGTTTTAAAGGAGGGGCCACAGTACGTAAAAAACCTGCCGGGCTGGCCTTTCTAACGAGGTCTTTCTTTGAAAACTGGAGGCTAACCTGTGGGAATCAAGGCAAATGTGACTCATAGACAAATCTGATTTTTTCCACTTAAGCCCTCTTGCCAAAGGAATGAAGTTATACTGGTGGAATGATCAGATGGGTATAGGAGGCTGTGCCAATTCTAAGCCAAGATGTGATCCCAGAGGGTAGCCCTGGACTGCCTGCTCCTCTTGGCCATCACTGGCTGCAGCCTGGGGATTAAATTCTAGGGAGGACCTGCACCCGCCCACTTGGTTGCTCTTGCCCTTCCCTTCACCCTCGTTCCCACCTTATTATCTCATTACGGCTTCTCCTGCTGCCCAGCTAACCACTTTCCCTCAGTCTCCCACTGCACAGTTGCCAGCTTTCTTAATGCACCCTTCTGTTAAAAACCCCCAACAGCTCCCTTACCTAGAGGATGTTAACTCCTTAGCTCAGCATCCAGCGCCTTCTGAACTTTGGCCCAATCTCCCTCCTCAGACCACCAGTCCCCTCCTGAGATTAAGCTCTCTCCCCTGGCCAGTGTGGGGGATCACAGGGCCAAAGCTTTCCTTGGGCATTCCCGCCTCTGCCTGCCTTATTCCTCCTGGGAAGGACCCTGTTCCAGTGCTGCCCCTCTTCCATGCCTGGCTCGTCTCATCCCCTTCTCCCAAGATTGTTCCAGCCTGCCTAGCTCCCCTGCTCCCATGGAGACCAGGAGCCTCAGGGTCAGGGTCTGGTCATTCCTTTGGCTGGCTCTGGCCAAATGCAAGCCTTTTACGTGTGTAATTCTCTCCCCAGCTAAACCGTAGGCTCCTTGAGGGCAGGGCTTTCACACAGATTTTTACAAGCCATGCAATGCTCTTCTGTATTTAGCTGGCGTTCCACATTTGACAACTGGCAAGGCCTATGAACACTGACACAGAAGGCCCCAAATCTCCAGCCCAGGATTTCGAGTACCATAAAACCAGTGGGTGTCATGGTGTCTGGGGCATCTGCCCCAGCTGGGCGGAGCCCCCAGTTTTTGGACACAGTTGAGGCTACACACGGGGGAAGCCTTGGGCCTGTGAGTGGGCGAGCATCTGGCTTACATGGAGTCTTTGTGTGGCACACAAAGGTTTCCTCGTGTTGACCAGAATGGTCCTAGGTGAAGTTGTCACCTGACTATGGCAAATGAGAAAACTTGGCTCAACCCTGGATGGTGCCCAATTAACATAGACTTCCTTCAGTACTGCCGTGGCCGTCCCCCAGCCGCTCTGCAGAGAGAAGGCAGCCAGTGCGATAGGCCTCAGGAAGAACCAACTCTGCCAACACCTTGACGTTGGACTTCCAGTCAGGACCGGGAGAGAATAAATTTCTGTTTGTTAAGCCCTGCAATGCAGGGTACTTCCGGAACCCCTGCTGCCCTGGGTGGGGGTGATCCTTGAAGCACAGGTCGGTAGGAGGGTAGCTCTGACCCGCTGATGGGAGGTTGGGACCCTTACCTTCATGGCCTACGGCGCCTGGCAGCCCCAAGGGCCCCTCCTGGCCAGGAGCTCCCGGGAAGCCATGCAGCCCTGGTGGCCCGGGCAGTCCGGTTTTGCCTAGAGGTCCTGGGAAGCCTGGGACACCCTTCAGGCCTGGCATTCCTGGCATTCCTTGGCTTCCTGGAACAATCAAGACAAGAGCCTTGAGGCCAACCCCATATAGTTCATTGCAAGCAATGTCTACATCCTCAGAACTATTCTATAAAACTAGGATTTAATTTTTTTCTGAATTGTAGGAACTCTGGAAAATGCAAAGAAGTATAAAAGGTAAGATCAAAGTAACTCATGCTATCACCCCGAGATAATTACTTACATCCTGGTATATTTACTTCTCACTTTTTTTCTATTCACATAAATATACAGAACTAGACAGGTGACCGAACTGACATCACAGTTAAGTAAAATTTTAATACAGCTTTTTTTTTCACTTGACATTATATTTTGAGCATTTTGCCACATTTAAAATACTCTTTGCAAGCATGTTAATTGGCTATATGAATCATATCCCATCACATGGACACATTTAGTTCCCTCCCCATTTTTTTTGCTCTTACAGTGTTATGAGGAACAGGTTTATATATGTATTTGGGCTCATGTCACTTCGTTAGGAAAGTGTCCTGGAAATCCACTTAGTGGGTCAAAGCAAACATGAATTTAATGCTTCTTAGCACAGCGACCTCAGATGCCGGCCCCTGTGTACCCTTCCCACTGATCTCCCAGCACTGAGTGCTGGCACTAGGGCCCAGACAGAAGCCTGGTGCGCAGGCGTCGGGGAAGAAGAGCACAGAGCAGCTGCATTCCTGGGAATGTTTTTGATGAAGAATCACATTTCTTTCTCCTAGTTTTTAATTTTTGGTGAAATTTTTGTTCTTCACTGATATTTTCCTTTGGGGATTTTGATATTTTTCTTATAGATTTTAGTATTCCTCATGTACATTAACTTATTTTCCTTCATATCTACTTTAAAGTTTATCTACTGTCCAAATTTTCATTTTCTTTTTGACGTGTAGAATATTAAGATTTGTGAAAATACACACTTTTTTGGTGTGTGTATTTTCTTTCCTTGATTTTATGTCTAGTATATCCTGCCCTAGCCAGGAGTAAGATAACTATGAGCATATATTTTCTTCTACATTTTTTTTTTTAAACACCAACTCCCTGGACCTCTTTCTATTAAGTAATTTTTTCCTTTCTTCTTGGAACTTAAACTTCATTACATTCATCCAATTAATACCAGTTGGAGAGTCAAAGTCTGCCATTTGCATCTTTTCTCCAATGACTCTCTGGGTCCCTTGCTCTTTTATCCCTGACTATCCTACCAAGTGCACAAGGCTGACCTGGGAAGAGGAGGCAGACAAGTCGGGGGAATGGGGCAGAGGGGTGTCATTAATGAAATAGATCAAGTTAGTTTTGGACCAACCCAGACTCTCAAGCCTGTGGTCCAATTATCTGACGTCTTAAACCATATCAGGGAGAAAGGTACACAGGAAACAGGATGCATATAACATTCTCACATACTCCAGTGTTACTGTGGGAAATGAGGACACTTTTTCGGGGGTTCTATCTTTAGAGTTTACGGCTCCAGGGAAAGTATGTTTCCAAGTGGCTGCTGGTGGTCTCATGAGAATAGGAAGGCAGTGTTGCACACGGTGAAGATTTATAGAGAAGTCAGGTTCCTGCCACAGTACTCTGCTCCTCCACAAGGACAAGCTAACGTCATCACCAAGCACCCTTAAGGCTGCATAAACTGACAGCACTGAGCAAGTAAGTTCATACGAGCCGTGGCCAACAGGATGGAGGCTGGTCTGAGCTCAAGTTTCTGGAGTGCCTCGCTCATAGAAATGGACAGGCCAGGCCATGAATAAATGGTTGAAATGACATCTGCTACTCAAGTGGTTGTCTTAAAAATATCAGGTTGAGGCATTTTGTTCTTTCAGTTGTCGATGGAGCTCAATATTTAAGTCAGTGTCTATTTATAGAACATCTGTTATAAAAAAACACAACTACAAAAAAGCATCAGCTGTCTTAAGCTAAATAAAATCTGATCCATGAACTTGTGGGACTAGTTATTCAGAAGTTCTGCTCAGACACCCAGGCTGCATCATGCGCCCTCGTAACTGCCCACCATGGCCAAGCAAGTCGGCTGTGGTGTCATCTGCCCGCTGCTCCTGTCACAGGGGTGGATGGAACTGACATGGAGGCAGTTTCTCATAGCTTTGATATTCCAGAAGTTAAAACTTTTACCCAGTGAAATATTCTGCCTAAACTAGCTGGTCATCCAGGTGACATCAAACGTTGGGAAACGAGTCTGCAGGAAATAGCTATGTTTTAAGAAATCTACCAGAAGTGCCCTCTGTAAAGGAGCTCAGGGCACAGCAATTATAGGCCTGCAGAACGGATTGGCGGGGACACACGAGGCTGACAGGGTTTTTAAATAACCAACAGGAAAGCTGAAGCGTAGAGTGCCACGCTGCAGTGCCACCAATTCCTCAGTCCCTACACAGTTGCTGAGCTATACCTTATGCTCCATAACTGACCAGGAGGTAGTGAAGTTGGCAAGGCAGACCCCAAACATCCTGGCATTGGGTCCCCACTGCTCGGTGATTGTAGCCAGTGGCCCACATACCTGTCTGGCCTTAGCCAAGGTAGTGTGGTTCAGTGGTGTGTATAGATGTGTGCGTGAGTGCATGAAGAACGTGAGTATAAAAGGGTGAGTGTGACTGTGTGGGTGTGTTTGTGAATGTGTTAGAGTGTTTACATGTGAGTATATGTAAGGGTGCGAACACACATGTGTAGGTATTTGTGCATGCATGTGTAAGATTGTGTGCACATGAATAGGCACAGACATGTATGCATGCCTGCATGAGTATGTGTGTGGGCATGTGCACATGAGCCTGTGTATATAAGCATATGTGCGAATGTGTGGGTGTATGGGCATGGGAGAGCACGCGTGCATAAATGAGTATCTGTGTGCATGTGTGCATTCCAGCCATCTCAGGATTTCCCTTCCGTTCTTTGGGCCTTCCCTCGGTGGGTCTCTCAGTGAGTCTTGCCCCCATGCAGGGGGTTCTCCTAGTCAGTCAACAGTAGAGGTGCTGATCAGCGTCATCGTGGAAACCCATCTGCCCTCTGTCCCACCTCCCAGGCCTGCTGGGAACTGACAGGCCCACCTGCAAACCAATTCACACTCCTGAACATGATGAGTTCACCTGCCCTTCAAGAACCAGACCTCACCCCCCTCGTGTCTTCACGTAACGGACGCCCTACAGATCTGATGGCGTTTGCTTCCTGCACAACATAGGAGGAAGCCTTCTTTTGTCTGGGCTTGGGGTGAGACTGATGACAATGCCAACAACACATGAACGGTCGGTGTGTAAAGTTACAATGAATGCATCCTGCTCTTCATATTTGATCGGGAACACCAAATATCAGGTTTCAACGGTCTGGCAGTCTCCAGCACACAGTGTACTGAATGTAAATACTCGCTCTCTGGTGACATAAACTTTTATTAAAGTGAGGTATCTGGGGATCTCAATGCCAGTTTTGCGTAAATTGGATACATAAAGCCGTCTAATGCTTTGTTTGTTCATCAAACAACGGGTGGTCCTTCTACTTTGCTAAACATACATAGATGATATTGTAAACGATATTAATGAATTTCAAAACCAATTTTACATTAACCCATGAAATTGCATTCTAGATCATTTCTATCTTCCTCCTCAACTTCTCACTCAGCATGGCCTGGTTCCTCTTTTTCAAAGCTACTGCTCACACTCTGCTGAAGGCACCAGCGAGCCCCCATGCTGATTCACAGCCAACTTGGGAAGAGTCCATCAGTTAACCCATACTTGTAAAAGGCCTCAAATGACCATCCTTTCCTGGCTACAGAAGGTAAATACAGGATGATGATTATTGTCCTAAAACCATTCCAGAAGGAACTCTGCAGCTAAGTGGGGAAGAGAAAAAGCAAGACTCATGCCATAATGTTCTGTTGCTTCTTATGACGTCCTCCCTAGGAGGGATTTCGAAGCCACTCCTGGGAGCCATGGTGCAGTGGGATCCGGCCCCCGCTCCCCTTCTGCTGCAGTGACTTACCCCTGAATCCAGGTGGGCCTCTTTCTCCGGGAAAGCCTTTCAGCCCAGGGTGTCCAGGCAGTCCAGCGTCTCCTCGGGATCCAGGCTGGGCCCCCAGGACTTCGCCAGGAAGGCCCCTGTCCCCTGGGGGCCCGACTTGTCCTGGTAGGCCGCTGGGGCCTGGGGGTCCCTCAGGGCCCGGGCGGCCCATCGCACCTTTGGATCCTCGGGGCCCCACGAACCCTAAAGGGAAACATGGGTCATCCCCAAAACCACAGTCAGCATTGTGATATTCTAAGAGAGAGATCAGATAGAGGCCGGAGACCCCAAGGTTTGCAATCAGCGTTCTCCGCTTGAGCCCCGGCCCTGGAGCCCACAGCACTCACAAGGCCGCCCTGCCTCCCTCTGCTGTCTGGCCCTTTGCCCTACAATTTAGCTACAGTGGAGGAGGCCTTCAGAACCAACCTCCCTGGACAAAAATCGTGATGATTTACGGTATCTCATGCTGTGCAAATAATCCCAAGAGAAAGCTTTCATGGGACCTTTCAGGATGTGTGTGATGGAAGACCCCTCAGAGCCCAAACTCTGGCTGCTGGTCATCAGTCAATTTGGAAATGCTTGGAAGGGAATTGATAGCCCTTTGTCATGGTGACTGTCGATCACACATATTTGGATGGAGGAAGGGTGGCTGTCATGTGCTTGGGCAATTGTGTCTTTCCTGGACACTGCTGGGTCAAATGGTCTCATCACTACTTCCCTGTTGTCAGTGTTCTCACCCCTGATGCAACCTCAGATTGAACTGTGGGAATAGGCAGTCATGTGCTTGTTCAGAAGGAGAGCTTTTTGAGGTCATTCTTGGCTTCAGTGTGCAGGGCGTGGGAAGGAGGGCACTGTCTGCCCCTTCTGTGAGGTACACCTGAAAAAAAGACCCCGTGCACAGGGCCCCAGTCCTTTCCTAAGACAGGAAAACTTGGCACACCTAAAACTGGGAGATTGGCTGAACGGTATGGCTTGTTTGGGACCCAGAACAAGGGAGCTGGACATGGTCTGAGAATTAATTAGCTGGATTCTATTTCAGAGTTTTAATGATGTGATTTACCCACATAAAGAAGAGCTATAGCTTTCATGGAAATGTTAAAATGTATACATGGGAACTGTGTACTAAATTTGTGGGTGTGAGTACCTATGTGGATCTTATTTCTGGAACAAACTCTTGGTGTGTTTTGCAGTCTTTGAAGTTGGGATTTTATTTTCTTCTGCATGTATATTCCATTGCTGTAAAGAGTGACATGCTTTTCAAAAATTGAATAGATCAGTTCCTCCTTTACCCCCTCCCTCTGGTCCACCCAATGTCTCTGGTCACTTAAAGGCTTACATATCAACACAGAACAGGCTTCTTCATGTGTGGTCAGCTTCCCAAACACCCTGGTAATGGGCGCATCCCACTCCTCCACGCCAGGAGAATGCTATGCAGCTCATGCCCGCTTGTCTCGGCACACGAATTATGATTACTAGGTGCCCTTCATATTCAAGGCAAGAGGATATTAATGAACTGTTTTCCTTCTTTCAAAAAAAAAATCACTTAACTTTTGTATATATGGGATCAACCACGTGGCAAAGCTATAACTCCTAAACATTTAGGTGCTCCCAGCAGGGCAACAAAATGATACAGTCTGATCCCCTGGTGTGGTGGCAAAAAAAGCTTTCTTTGTTTCTCTCCAAGGCAAGGTTTTTACCACTGCCTCGACAAAAGACACAGGAAGTAACGCATCCCAGTTTTCAAAACATGATGAGATGCATAATATGAAAGACAACAGGTTAAAGATTTACAACCACCTTTATGAATCCAGGAAGAAAATCTATCAGAGACTGAGGTGAAGTTCTACATTTAGGATTAAGCCACTTGTCCGTGTGTAGGACAGGGAAGAGGCAAAATTCAATTAATCTTTGCTGAAAATATTTACTAAGGACCTAAGCCTAAGGACACACAGACCTACTGCTTTGTGTGACATTCCAGACACATGGAACATTTATTCAGTTTCTGGGGCCCAGCTTGAAGTGAATGCTGACACGCTGGAGGGCCGTCATGGAAGCATGTTCAGAATTCTGAGGGCATGGAAATTACATCATGAAAAGAAAGTCTGTGTTCCCGGGGCAGGGTGTGTATCCATGAGATGGCGTAGGGAGGGGTGACTGCTCTCCCGAAGTGTGTGAGGGGAGGGTACACACAAGACCCACTGGCTCAAGGAGAAACCAATGGAGAACCTACTAGGAGGCAGGTTTCATTTCAGTCAGGAGGAACTTTCTAGCAATCAGAGAGTTTCGGTGTTTCACAGGTGCTGGGTGGCAAGAGGCTAGAAGAACACCTGACCAGAATCCTGAGGGAAGATGTTTGACCTTGGGTGGCTTTAGTGAGTTCTACAGTTTTATTTATTTAAATAATACAATTCTAAAATGCACGGGCCTCTGCATACCAAGCAACACAGTCATACAGTTTCAGCCATAACCACAAAGGGACACCTGGGTTTGGGGACACTGAATTACATTAAAGAGCATGCAGACACCCACGCAGGGACCCCTACTTCTCACCACCATTCATTCATTACCAGAGACACATTCATGCCCCTCCACACATGGGTAAGTGCGTGCCTTAAGCTCTTTTAGCCACTAAATGACTTAAATAATTCCTTGCTGTGTCAAATGTAGATGGAATGGTTCAAGTTGTTTACTTAGACAAGCTACAGACTGAGGAGTGAACAGATAATGCCGTGAAAAGCAAAACCATACATGTTCCTTAGCTGGCGAGTGATCAGCAGATTGGGAATCAATGATGAGAGGACTGTTTGTGCCTTTAAATGATAATAGCAGTAGAGGATAACACTATGATGCGCCCCTAGAATGTTTACTATCAACCAGAGGGAAATCTTTATGTACACTTATCTTTTTCCCCCTGCAAAATCTGTATTATCGTCTGCAAAACTCCAGTGCATTAGTGATAAAAAATTCAAGAATTCTATTCCCATAAGGACAAGGACAAAAGTTGTCATCATGCATTTGGCAACCAGGCTTCTAAATGTTAAAGACAGCAGAGCTGGGGCACTGCGATCATTTGTTCACAGCCATGTCCTAATATAAGGGCCTGAGGGCGGTCTGACCCTGCCTTACCTGGGGGTCCTGGGAACCCTTCACGCCCTGGATCTCCTGGGAAACCTTTGGGACCTTGTGGTCCATCAGCTCCTGGGAATCCTGGTAGCCCCTGGAGGCCTTTGGCACCTAAACAACTCAAAGAAATCACAACATATATCAGAGCCCTGTGAGGAAACCCCAGCAGTAGATAAATAGGAAGTGATCGAGTTTAGACCTGACTTAAGGCAGTCTCTTATGAAACTAGAAAATGGTGAGGCTGGGACATCAACCCTAAAATAGCACCTCTGCCAGCCAGCCACGCCCAGCTGTGGACCCACAGACCCTGGCAGTGGGCCCCACCCACCAGTGGACGCCCCCAGCAGGCCTGCCTAGGGTCCGAGGCTGGGCTGACCGGTGAAGGGCTCTCCTTGTTGAAGCTGGTAAAGACTGGAAGGGGAACCGCTTCTTCAAAGGTATACACATCGACACAAAGACACAAGGGTAATGAAGAACAGGGAACCATGAAGCCAATGAAGAAAACTAACAAAGGTCAAGTAACCAACCCTAGAGAACTGGTGATCTAGAAAGTGCCTCACAAAGAATTCCAATGAATTGTCCTAGAGAAGCTCAGTTCATATGAGAGAACACATATGGGCAGGAAAATAATACACAAATAACATGACAAGTTTTACAAAGAAATAGAAGCCATAAGAAAACAAACGAACAAAGCCTGTAGCTGAAGATTATAATGACTGAACTAAGATAGCATCTCTGGGCTTACAGAATGATTTCCAGTGTCTAAAATTCATGCTGAAGGGCTCAAACGATAAGAATAGTGCTCAGTATTAAGGTTCACAGGGCTCGGAATGCCTGGGTCTGAATCTTGGCTCTTCCATGTGTGCAGTTTTGGACATGTTTCTAACCCCCTCTGGGCCACTGTTTCTTCATCTGCAAAATGGGGAAATAATACCCACTTCACAGGGTATTGTGAGGACTCAATGGGATGGCTCCTGTCAATATCAGAACAGTGCTTGCACAGGGGTGAGCTCCACAAATGTTCTAACGGAAAGAAGGCTGGAGTTCCTCCCCAACACCACAGAGCTGAACTTCATGCTTTTCCACCCATGTTCATGGCTTTTCTTTCTGAGGATGCTGTGTGACACCCACCTCCCTCCTCAGAAAGTGGGGATGTGATGGCAGAAGCGAGCGAGACGAGTCAGACAGGAAGCAAGCTAGGGGCTGTCAGCTACGGGAGCCCCAGTCAGGAAGTGAAACTAATAGCCACAGGAGGACAATGGCTGGGAGCCTCAGACACCCTGGCTCTGACTTCTGAGCCCCTTGCAGGCACCAGACCTCAGATTATGTCCCTGGCCTGCGTGTGTGTCACATGTACAGGACTCTGGTCCTCTCGACCACAGAGACTTCATCTGTATAAGAGGTTCTTCCATGAAGCAAGGTTCTCAAACTGACACTAATCGCATGTTGCTAAACACAGGGGGTTCTTGGGAAAAATTTCTCCTTTTTGTCTGTCTCCATCAGGTCCAGCGTCAGTGTCAAGAGACAAGATCGAAAGCTCCACAGACTTGCTTGAGCTGAGTAGATGTTTCATCATAATTCGCAGGCCTGGGAGGGTCTCTTCATGATAGCCAGGACATGAAGGGGAGAAAGAACTCAGAGCTCCAGAAACCTGACACCCCTACATTCTCTGGCCTTGGCTGCCTGCGGGCACAAGAAGGGGCCGGACAGACCCGCATCTGTGGGGCACCGCCCTCTTCCCTGGTGAGCTGGGAGGAGCCGTCTGGTCACCACACCAGCAGTGAGTACAGGCCTGCTTCTCAGCTCTGAGGTTTGGTCAGCTTCCTGAGCGCCTCTCTGCCTCTTGCCTATGGCCCTTCTGACTCTCTCCACTCTAGACTCCCCTGGAGCTCTGGGACCAACACTGATGTCTGGGCAGTGGATTACACCAGCACTTCTCTGGGGACCAGATTTTGAGTAGCAAGGTGCTTGCAGGTTGCCTAATTTTCCTCCACTTATAATGGTCTACACCTTACTGCAATTCATTTGAACTTTCCCCATTGCACTCTGCAAACATTTACAATACCTTAAACATTTTTAATAAATATGGGAAACTTGAAAGTTTCCCACATCCTTCACCCAGAGCCAATATACCCAGATTTGAAAAATGCTGACTTATAGTACTTTAAATGAATGATTTACACTAAAAAGAAAGTAAAACTTCAGACCAGCTAAATGAAGTAACTCTTAATTGATTGGACATCTTTGATCTGAACCATTTCATATGGGAAGCAAACTTGAGACATTTTTTCCAGGTGTCTCTGTGCTCAAGAATTCCCTTCATCTCAGCCAGCATACCTGCCAATGGCTGGCAGCCAAGTGCTTCAGGAATCACCATATTTCTCTGCGACTACTGAGAGCAGCAGCCTTCTCTCTACAGCATGCGGGGCTGGTGGGCAGGGGGTGGAGCGGTGTAGTGCTACAGTAAGAATTACAGCCTCTCCATGCTACTGTCCCTTTAGAAATGTCCCTGTAGGCCATTAGGTTGGGCTGCTGCTCTGCCATACTGTAGAAGGGGACAATCCAGCATCCTAGAGTTTTCCATCTTTTTCCATGAGCACAGAAAGGGGTCAGGAGAGACTTGTGGAAGCACTTCCCTCGGGCCGGGGAGAAGGAGCACTGTGTATAAGACCCATCCGTTCTCACTGTGGGATCCTGGTCCCTGAGGGTCCTGTCAGCAAGACTGGCCTTGGGAAAACACATGGTGCAGCAACCAAAGCTTGACCCTTACTGACACTCCAAATAAACGCATAGATTATCTACAATTGCCCATTGATAGCAAGATCCTCTTAGGCTATCATCCCCCAGTGTAACTCTGAGAGAAAAACAGCAATGTGAGAGAGAAACATCAACTGGCTGCCTCCTGTCTATGCCCTGGTTGGAGACCGAACCTGTAACCTTTTGGTGTGTGGGAAGATGCTCAAACCAACTGAGCCACCCGGCCAGGGCCACAGACCTTTATTCTTGACTGGGGCAGATGAGGAAGGAGCAGTCAGTATTAGTCAGAGCCAAATGATATTCCCTCTCACACAAGACTGCTGTAGTCTAAGAACTCGCCTGGCCTAGGCTGGCTGACCCAGACATCCGGGCATCCCCGAGCAGCTGTGGTGGTTGTCCAGCCCCTTGTTGTCTCTGTAATACCACGCCATGAGTGGCCATGGGGACAGTGGTAGACGCTGGGCTCTGTCATGGAGAACCCTTACTTATTTCATGTGGGCTCTTTAGATAGGCTGATTGTTCTGTGTCAGCAGACAAAAGCCCAGTTCCTCCTAGACTGTTGAGACAAATTCCTAGCCCTGTTTATTTCTGCTTTCATCTCAGTTAAAATCCCCCAAAAGTAATTCTCTCCCATAGGGTCTTCCCATATATCCTGGGACACAAAAGGATAAAAAAGCACACAGAAATAAACTTTCCTCCCAGGTTTAAGAGGCACTTTAGTCTCATCCAGGTTTATACTAGAGCTGTGGCTGAGTCCTGCGTAGCAGGAATCTTCTCCTTTAGACTAGGGTTCAGCTAGGTGTCAATCACATTTCTTATACTGACGAGTAAAAGTCTGCTTCCTTTAGAAGCTACCAGTTTGTGGAAGACTGCCAAGATGGCAGAACACGGTGACATCCAGGGACACAAAGGAATGTGGGGGCAGAGGAAAATGAAGATGCAGACAGGAAGGCTGGAAGCGCTCTCTACCAGAGCACGTTACCTGTGGGGCCCGGGGGGCCCGGCTGGCCTGGCAATCCCTTGGGCCCTCCAATACAACCTGGGAAAGGAGAAAAAAAAGATGAGTGGAAGCATCTTTACTGCCAAGCCTCATGGCTTTGCGATATTGCTAAGGTCAAGAGCACCAGGCCTGAAAATTGGCTACCATTTTTATGATCAGAGTAACTTAATGAGTTAATTAATCTTCCTCTGATGTAAACAAAAGTTTAATTTTATCATGTAATTAAATTAGAATATTAATATAAAATGCAAATAAGATCAGTCCAGTCAATTAAAGACTGTGCTCTGCGGCAATGACCCCTCCCCTCCCTTAGGGCAACGTCCCAGCAAGGCTGAGTCCTTACTCTGGTCCCTCCCCAGTGAGTCAACCTCAATGCCTTTTTGTATGGAAATGTCCACCAGAGGATGAGGCCATTTGTGATTTCAAAAGCAATTCTTAGATTCCTCCTTTGTGGCTTTGAATACTTTCAGAATTAGCCACAGCAATACCTGTTTTGAGCCATGCAAAATGAAACCTGAATTAGCCACTTCTGGCATGTGTGGGCAGGGCAGTGACATGACACAGGTACTTTGTCATTTGGCCTTTGTCTTTGAGATGTCCTTCATCTGTGTGCCTGGGATTTGGCTGGGCTCCTATTGTGACAGACTTCAGCCTCTTCTACACTAGGGGCCCAGGGGGACCCACTACTGCAAAAGAGAGGGACCCACTACTGCCTTTGGGGGGCCCGGCCTCCATCCCGCAGAGCCTCACACCCAGGGGTCTTCTCACATCTGCCTCATCGGCCACTTCTCTGAAAGCTTGGGGATCTGCCATCCCTGCCTTGCCGTCTTGCTCTGAGTGCTGGGTCCATTCCCACACGGTAACCTCAACCTCATACAGGGGACCCACGGATTCTGATGCTAGTTCTCCAATCCCGACTTTCAAGGAAGTTATCCTCTCCAATGCTGGCCAGGTCAACCTCCGGATAGTCTCCCTCTCTTCTCTCCCACCACTACGCTTTGCCTCAGAGTCATTTCTATATCCTATCCCTCTCTGTCAGCCCTTCTTCTTTCTAGCATTCATTTATCACCAGTCCAAATTGTGCTCTCCTGACATCTATCTGGACTGGCTCCTCAACCTATATAACAAGCAAATAATTCACAGTTGCCTTTTACACGTGTATAGACAGAAAGCTGAATAAGAATATCCATGTATTTTTGGTGTAAAAATATGTCTGTTGAGTCCTTACCAATGTTGTAAGTTGATCCTTTACGTTGGTGGGAAGACTTGGTGACACTATATGCTATTATACTTGCCTATCCTTTGATTCTAAGCTAAATCAGACAGGGTGCCAGCTCTAAGTGTTGCATGTATTTATATTTCTTGCTGTAGCTCCATGCTCACTGCAGGAGCTCACAGCAGTTGTTGACAAGTCACATGTTTTACAAACCAAAAGTTTTAAAAGGTTCTAAAGCCTCCTGATCTTCATGACAGTACCTGGCTGGATGACATCCTGTCCGTCACCTCCGATGGGTCTTTTCACACCTGTATCGCAATCTGGGAGCAAGACATGACAGAGTGAGGCAGTTTTGGAACAGCTGAAAGCAACTAACTTATCTATGAGTGTGTGTGTTGGTGGTGGTGGGAAGGCTGGGGGGGGGGCAGGGACTTCGAAGGCCCTTGGCTTCAGCCCTAGAGGGAGAGGCCCTGCATTTCTAGCTGGTGAGAGGAGGCTGTTGCTGGGTCTGAAAATCCCTGAGGATGCAATACAGCCTTCTTACAGGACCCTACTGGGAAATGTATACATTGCCAAAAAAAGAATACTGAATATATGCTGAAGCACTAAACAGTGTCTCATGACTTTGAAAGACAGAAGAAAGGATCCCTTATACCTATTTGTCCTGGGAGGCCTGGGGGGCCCGGAGGTCCAGGGAGGCCTTGCGGTCCGGGTAATCCAACATCTCCAGGGAAACCACGCTCGCCTTTGGGGCCTGGGAGGCCCAGTCCTGGGGGACCCCTTTCTCCTGGAAAGCCCTTGGTGCCAGGTACTCCTGGGTAGCCTGCATCCCCCGGGGGGCCTTTGATGCCATCACCCTGGGAGAATATTCAGTTTATTTCTTATAAGATACCCCAAAGACAGCCACATTCCCAGTTCCCTTTCCCCATTCCCCTGAGTCCAATGCTGCAGATGGAGAGCAGAAAGACTGCAGAGATTAGTAAGAAGCTACTGTAATGGCCTAAACAAGCTGCAGAAATAAAGGGCAGATTTTATAATAATTATGAGCAATGCAATAGAAGATAGTTTTGGAGGGCAAACAAATCTATTTGAATATTAATTTTTCTCTTTCCAAACCACTAGCGCCCATGTGTCGATTTTGACCTTCATGCACAGGAAGAATTCTGCATAAGCACAGTTAGGTATAGGTTTGGATAAATGAGAGTAGAAATACGCTATTTTTATTGTTATGACTTAGCATTTGTTGCATATCTACTACTCACAATGGCTAATGTGCTGTTAAAGGAAAGGAAGTCTTTAATTTGGACAAGAAAGAAAGAGAAGTGTGCTCGTGAGAAATAAGTAGAGGTGATAGGATCAGGATAGCAGGAAGCGGGGAAGTACTTGGCAGCCAGCGACAGGCCCTATTCATGAAACTGCTAAGCAGGTGTGGGAAACGAGGGTACACAATGGAGTGGTCAAAGGGGCGGGGACTGTGAGAACTGGGGAGTTAGAAGGAATGTCTGCAGGGTCACAGGCTAACCGTGGGCCCGGCTCCACACTCAGTGTGTCTGAGCAAGCTGGTACAACAGCTGTGCAGATAAGTCCCACTCATCCGCCTGAGCCGTGAATGAGACTGGGATATGCAGATGGCAAGGAGGCAGCAGCTTTCAGGATATGAAACGCTGCTGTCCACTGAGGTACCCTTTCTCCTTCATTTCTAAAGGCATGAGGAAGAGCAAGATGCTCACAGATCAAAGGTCAAGCTCTCTCCATTGTATGGCCTTGATTAAACCACACAACCTCCCCTGTGTTGGCTCCTTCAAGATGGGCTTAAGGATAAGGGGAGGACTTTCCATGACCCAGGGCTGTTGCAGAGGTCAAATGGCAGACTGACCAAACTTAGGTAGTGGACGATGATGCAACCACGGGGGTGTGCCCACTGAGCTTCTCAAGGGAGATGTTTACGTTTTTAGTTTAGAAATTCCAGCAAGCAAGCAAGGACTGACAAAAGCCTCCAGACTGGGAATCAGAAGTCGGGAGTTTGAACGCTGGCTCTTGACAACAGAAAGGAAACAGTGGGCCCTGACAGCCAGGAGCTGGCCTGAGGGCCTGGCCGTCCCGGGTGTTGCTGGAGCCGGCTGCCCTCACAGCCATGCTGAGCGCGCAACGGAACAGCAGTAATTCGCACACAGCCTCAGGTCAGGACACTGACGAATCAAGTCACACATTCGTACATACACGTGCACGCCACACGCAGAGACCATATACACATGTACACACATGCCATGGCCACAAAGACCGCTCGTAATCATATTTGAACAGGCAAAAACATGACACTGTTCAAACCACCAACACGAACCCCTCTCCTCCCCAATTATAGTTCTGGCCTTACTGTTTCCCCCGCGTTGACTCTCAGATAAGGCTTATTAAGATACACGATCGTGGAATTATCTGTGCATTTGGAAGCATCTCTCTCAGAGCAGAGCCCCCTCTCTGGCCCTCCTCAAGGCTACCAACACAGCTGAAATCCTGTGCTCACGGACCAGGACCCAGACGCAGTGCGGACAAGTCACGTCACTTCGTCATTTCCTCGTTCGCCAAGTGGCCTCCACGCTTTTTATCTCAGCTATGTGGTAGTGCAACTGGGTTACACAAATTCTGTTTTGAAAATAAATTTCAAAATTATAACTAAAAAAGCAATACTAGATTATTAATGACTCGGGTGTTTTCAAAGAGTCCAAGGAAACTGCACTGAAAACATTACCAGTGTTATAATAGAAATGACCCATGTTGTGGCAGGAGAAGGTGTTGGTTTTGGAACGAGGCAAGCAAGCCAGCAGAGGATGTGGGTGTGAAGCTCTGAGGGGGAGGAAGAGCGTTGAGGCTGGATGGTGCCTCCCGCAGATGCTTGATGCTTGTCATTTAAGCTGCCCAGTCTGTGGTGCTTTGTTCTGGCAGCCCCAGGAGGTGAATTCAAGGATCTTAGGAGTCGGGGGTGTAGGTTTAATAAGCATAGGAAAGAAACTGCAATCTAGGGGGAAAAAAACCTGAGAAATCACACTGGAGCATCAGGAGAAAACTCCAGAACTGTGCTTGGTCAAGGCAAGATGGCAGGGTTTAGGTGGGGGCGGGGCGGAGGGTGAGCAGAGGTGGAGTCCTGTCTCCCCGGTTCATCTCCGCCCTTTTCCAACTCCGCCCCCAGCCCTTCCCCGCCCCAAGAACGAGACCGGAGGAGGCTGGGACTCTGTACTTTGTGAGACATCCTCTCTTTCAATGCTGGCATGTCTGTTGCCAAAACAAATTGTACATTTTACAACTTAACCTAGAAAAATAGTGTTCCACCACCTATTTTAGAACATTCGATTTGGGGAGGGTGGTGTTTCATTCTATGTTACACCAGGAGGAATATTTGTTCTCTCTGACTTTTGAATGTTCACCCATGGCTTGGCTTCCCACCTAACTCACTATGTCCTAAAAAGTAAAATTTCTGCTCATTAAAATAGGCTGGATTGCAGGGGCTGGGTTTAGGGTTGTGCCAGGACCATTCGTTTCTGAGGTGTTTAAGAGCGTGACTGACGGGGATGAGGGCTGAGCGGGTCTCCCCATCGTGGCTACTCACAGGAGGGCCCGGAAGGCCTGGGAATCCATCCAGCCCGTCACGACCCGGGAAGCCGTCGCCACCTTTTATTCCAGGCACACCTGGGATACCTGGTTGTCCCTTCTCACCTGGGAAAGAATTTGCAGTGTGACTTCACTCATACAGTGCTGCCACAGAAGGATAAATAGTGCGAGCATTGCTTGGCCACAGAAGACTGACCTTTGGTGGTAATTGTTCTAGAATCTCCTTTTATTCCTTTGGGTCCAGGAGGTCCAAAGTCACCAGGGGCTCCCTGTGGAAACAGACACAAAATGTCTTCCTCGGTCATACTGTTTAAGCATGTCTGTGAAGACGATGGTTTTCTGTTCATACAGCTCAAGGGCCAATACCTGTCATCAAGCTCAGCACTGTCCAAAAGAACTTTCTACCACGTTAGATGTGCCCTATGCCTGACTGCTCACTACTGTGGCCTGCAATCACAAATGGCTATTGAACACCTGAAAGTGGCCAGTGGAACTGAAGAACTGAATGTTTAAGTTTAAATAATTATAAGTTAATGGCAGCAGCCATACATGGCTGGACAATGGAAATGAGGACCTTGATACTCAAAGCCGGTGCATGGACCAGCAGCAGGAGCCTCCCCTGAGAGCTTGTTAGAAACGCAGAACCTCAGAACCCACCTGGGGCAACTGAACCATGATCTGTATTTCAACAAAGTCCCAGGGATTCATACAGTCGTGAACTGGTGCGAAGCAATGATCCAAAACACAAGATGGCTCACTCTTAACTACAATTATTTAGAATCTGAGCAGATAATAAGCCTCCAAGTACAAAGGATGGAAATGTGTGATCATTGATATTGAGTACAATGAAGAGTATTGGAAATGGAAATTTAAGGTTGAAAGAAAACATACTTTAGAAACAAGCTTATTGCAGGACCACTCATGTTTTACGCTGTAAAATCTAGTTTAGATCTCCCAATGAGCTGCTTTATGGTTCAGGATACAGTTTAATGTGCGATATGCTAGTTTTTGGCAAATCTTAGTTAATCTTATTTGCAAGAATATGGGAGTTTTAGTGTTGGTTTAATTAAGTGGAATGTTACAAGTGATTACGAGTTCCTTTCTCCTAAAAAAATATTCCACAGATCCTTGGTTTATTGATTTAATTCTTTGCAGAAAAGGGTGGTACCCTTTCAGTGTCCAGACAGCGTCTCACACGCAGACACTGCTCACTAAGTAGGTGTTGGGCACATGCCTGGAAAGATGAATTCATTTGTTGACTGATTATTCCCATATTTCCAACACTCGGCCAGATTCTATCAGTGCAGATATTTAATAATGAAAAACCACCTTAGTCCTTCCTACTGCCGTGAGTTTGGCAGACATATAAACATATAATTAAATGCAAGACAGCAAACACACCCCTACAGGTGTTCAGGTGTTTGAACACAAGCGCTGTGGGCGTGTGTACAACACCGTTGGGGAAAGTGTGCACTAGGAAGAGCTTAGACATTCTAGGTGCACAAAATGGGATCCACTGGGTTTCTAGGAAACATTCAATCATTTTATAAGTAATCAAAGATTCTACCAGTTTTGCCATTAAGTTTGCAATCCTCACAACACACTCTTTTAAAGGAATAGACAGCCATGATTTGGGGATGGTATTATTTTAAACTAGGATAAAGCATAGAATTCACTGATTTTAGTCGGATGTAACTATTTGTTTTCTGAGAAACCCTGGAGTCTGGAGTAGAGAGGTGCCTTGGATCTCATTTTCGCCTGTGCAACAGAAGTTACAACCCACATGAGCAGGTCTGAGGGGCTGCAATTCTTGCACCATGGTGTGGAGCCAGCTCATTCTCATTGTCCTTGGCCAACTGTCCTCAGCAATGTTTCCTCTATTGCTAAGTATATAAAATGTTGGACTTTTTACTTTATAAATCTCCCCCATTCTCTTTTTAAGTAAAAAAAAAGTATTATTTCTTTGCCTTTGTCTGAAATTTGCTTTGAAATTGATAGTTAAAACCTGCTGCAGAGAAAGATCTGCTCCAGATGATTGCTTTCATCAGATCGGAAATACAGTTCACTTAGCTGATGTACACAGAGGGTCTGTGGGCAGGACATTTCATACACTACAAAGTGAACCATCCACGGTTCACTTGCAGGTCTCGGTTTTATTGGGTTATGGGAGCCTTCATAAAATGCTAAACCAGCTCTATACTAAATCTGAAGAGGTGCATGCTTGATAAATAAGATGCTTTACCTTCAAGATGCTAGAAACTATTTTTTTTGGGGGGGGGTGTATAATTCTCACACCATAACATTCAGTGTGTTAAAACATACAATTCAGTGGTTTTTAGTGTTTCTACAAGGTTGTGCAACCATCATTATCTAATTTCAGAACATTTTCATCACCCCCAAAAGAATCCCTGTACCTTAAACAGCCAGCCCCATTCTCTGTTCCATCCCCAGCCGTCCTTAGCAATGATCGATCTACTTATTTTCAGATTTGCTTGTTGTGAATACTTCACATGGATAGAAGCATATTTTCTGTTCTTTTGTGTCGATTTTATTTAAGTATAATGTTTTCGAGGTTTGTCCACACTGTAACATGTGTCAACACTTCAATCCTTTGGACGGCTGAGGAATATCCCACTGTATGGCTATACCATGTCTTGTTTGTCCATTCAGCGGTTGATGGGCATTTGTTTCCACTTTTGACTATTACTACTAATACTATTATGAATATTTGTATACAAGTGCTTATGTGGACATGTGTTTTCAGTCTCTTGGGTCTACATCTAGAAGTGAACTTCCTGGGTATTACGGTAATTTTATAATTCACTTTTTGAGGATTTTCCACAGTGGCTGAACTATTTCGTATTCTTACCAGGTAAAAGTTTTAAAGTTTCCCTTGGAGTATGTAGGAGTTCCTTTGGAGTTCATTTTTTGGATGAAGTGCTGAGTGCCTGAGTGTTGCTGGTCTAAAGCTGTGTTAGTTCAGTAAAAGCTGGGAGAACAGAGATAGGTATCAAGGATGTCTCATCAGCTCTGTGATAGAATTTGTCTCTCACCTTGAGCCCTGGGAACCCAGGGGTGCCATGATGGCCAGGGTCTCCTTGGATCCCTCTTCTTCCTGGCTCCCCAGGCGTGCCTGGGAAGCCCTTGGGTCCTGGTGCTCCTGGAAGACCACTGACGAACTGATCATCTGCACATCTACAGTCCCCATAATCACCTGCAATGTGAGGGAGAGGGAAGGACGAGTTATTTATTCATAAAGCGTGGGTTAAACACTCTTCTTGGTTTTACAGGGACAGGAGCACAAGGCGGATGGGGAGTGGGGTTGGGGTGAGGGGAGGAGCGAAGGCAACACCACATCCTGTGGCCATGATCTACCCTGGTCTTCACACGCCTGTGAGCAGTGCAGTGGGAACGGAATCCCCATTTCCTTGATGAGGAGCATGAGTTACTTTAGTGTATAGTTGTGGTTTCCTCCGGATGCAGAATTCTAATGCAATGTTTACTAAAGAAACTTAACCAATGGGACCATTTACAGAGGTGTGTGCAGAGTAGAGGTATCAGTGGTGAGGCCTCAGAAAGTCACCATGGGGCCTCAGGGGCGAGGGGAAGAGACAGTGTTCCAGGGTCTGGGTGAAGGGAAAGCCATGGCAAGAGTTGTGGGCTTGGAGGCCAAGGTCATGGGTAGGCAGAGAAAAAATATGCCATGTCTCCGCTTCTGCCTTGCCATGGCTGGACTCGGGGAGCCTGGTGCTGGTGGTAAGGCTGGCTTCTCAGGGCAGAGGGGGCCAGTGGAGAAATGACGCCGACAGACGATGGCTCAGTGGGGCTGAGTTGTACAGTTCGCCCACAGATGTCTGACCCCCGCAGTCAGCCGTATCCACAGTGGGGCATGCAGTCATACACCCAACATGTACCACAGTGGTCCAGACATAGTTAAAGTACAAACATGCTACGCACACACAGGAATGGGAGAGCGGAGCAGGCGTCACTGTGGTTCCTGACAACCTCACAGGGAAGGGGCCGCCAGGGCCAACCCCTCCCTGGAAAGGGCACTGAACTAGGGGCAGTGTCCCTGAGATGCTGGACAGGTCTCATCACTTCTCTGAGCCTTGGCCTCCTCACCCATTAACTAATCCTCAACTCAGGGAATCATGCTTAGGATCCAACCAGATGATTTCTCAACAAGCATGCTGCAGTGGGCAGGTGCTTTGCAAATATTTGTTACAATGCCTTGGAGCTGAGCACTTGGATCTGAAGTCAGCCTAAGAAATCATGGCTCATCTTTTTTGCCCAGTCCTGGGCTCCGCACTCCCTGAAAATTCAGAGATGAAGTTGGCAGACAGAGAACAGAGAAGTGTGAGTGAGTGATGGCTGGGTGTGCAGAAAATGTGACAGATATCACCTGAGTTGCAGTGAAGTTTCCATGAAAGACAGGGGTCCAGTGGGGAACTGGAGGATCGTGTTCATTTCAGAACATGTGGAAAGGGTGAAGGGTGTTCAGACAGACCGAGTCATCTCCCTACCTCTTCTCTGTTGTTCCCAGATGCCCCTTACCTTTCCATCCTTTCTGTCCGCGGGTCCCAGGGAAACCTGGAATCCCAGGAGAGCCCGCATCTCCTGGTGATCCTTTAAGGCCGAAAAGGAAACCTAAGGAGAAAATCCACAGAGGCAGCATGTTAGCAGAGCCCAGGGGACCCCGCATCTTGCTGAACCCGGTGCTGGAAGGTTTTCCACTAAGTCTCCCAAGAGAGACTAACAATGTCCCACATTCTAAATCCACTCCAAAACTCCTCACTAGAAAGAAATGAATACCGTTTTGTGGTCACTGCTTTCAGGGATGGATAGAAATGCAAGAGCCTATGAATTAAGTTTTGCTATTAAAGTCTAAAGATAAAAAAACTTTCCTTTTGAGAAACATTAAGCCCAAAGCAAGGTTTTGATTTTTCAACCACATATTGGGTTGGCCAAAAAGTTTGTCTGGTTTTTTCCATAAGATGGCTCTAGTAGCGCTTAGTTGTCTTTAACTTCATTCGAAAACAGTTTTATTAGATTGTATTATGGCAGTTGTCATATTAGCATGCATTAAAATAAACTTATTGAAATTGGTGGATTTTTTGTAGCCATTTTAATATTGAAGATTGAAGAAAATAAGCAACATTTTTGGCATATTATGCTTTATTCTTTCAAGAAAGGTAAGACACCACTAAAATGCAAAAAAAGATTTGTGCAGCATATGGAGAAGGTGCTGTGACTCATTGAACACATCAAAAGTGGTTTGTGAAGTTTTGTGCTGGAGATTTCTCGCTGGACAATGCTCCATGCTTGGGTAGACCAGCTGAAGCTGATAGCAATCAAATCGAGACATTAATTGAGAACAACCAACGTTATACCATGTGGGAGATAGCTGACATACTCAAAATATCCAAATCAATACAAGTTATTGGTGAAAATGAAAACTGCGTCTTTTATTTTACGGAAAAAGCCATATGGAGTTTTTGGTTAACCCAGTATTTTGCAATTCCAAAAAGACAAAAGACAAATTTTCCAAAAAGACAAAAAACAAAATAAAAGCAAATATCAAAATGATTTCAGTGCTCTGGCTGGTGAGGCTCACTGGACTAAGCACCAGTCTATGAACTGAAAGGCTGCTGGTTCAGTTTCTTGTTAGGGCACATGCCTGGGTGGTGGGCCAGGTCCCCAGTTGGGGGTGTGCGAGAGGCAACCACTCAATGTTTCTCTCACATATGGATGTTTCACACCCTCTCTTTCTCTGTCTCTTCCACTCTCTCTAAAACTAACTAAATAAAATCTTTTTAAAAATAAGAAGCTAACAAGATAGAAGTCACAATCTTATGTAGCTTAGTCATGGAAGAGTCACTCTATCAACTTTGCTTGACCTATCTATTAGAAGCAAGTCACTAGGCTCACACTAATGGGGAGGGGAGTACATAAAGACAGGGGGTAAAAGTGGGAATAACTTGGGACTGCTAATAAAAAAAAATCTTTTTAAAAATAAAGTAAAACATAAAAATTGGGCATTTATTAAAAAAATTAATTCAGTGTTCACTTGAATATCCTTACTACTCTCCCCATATACACACCACAAAGACACTCTTTCCTCTTTCTCTCTTTTGTGTGCACATAAGTACACACATGCACCCAGGACGTTTATGTAATTAATGTAGATAACTTGTGAAGCACCTGGATTCAGTGTGGTAACCTCCACTCCCCACCCCCCGACCCTCACTCCTTTAACTGGGATCAGGGTCCTTCTGACCTACTGTTTGCAGGGCTCCAATAATTCCAAGCAGGGATATCTAGACAAAGGTATAAGAAACACATGCTAAAAGTCAATAAAACTCCCCAAGTCATATTTGAGAGGAGCGCCATCGTGTGGTGGGACCGAGGCAGCACATGCCCAGGAAACATTGCTGAGCATGGATTTGGAGTCTCCCTGACTCCTTCTCTTCTCTTCATTGCTAAACCTTACACTGCTCATAGCTCCAAAGATCCAACAAAACTCCTCCAACAAATTAAAATACATGCTGCCATACCCACCTTTTGGTAACTGAGAGGAGGAGAGAATGAGGCGATTAAGGAAGCAGAAAGGAGAGGAAAACATCAATTTTAAAAACTTTTGCTCCCTGTTTGGAAAAAATGATACCAGAATTTCAATATCAGAAAGCTTTAAGGTAACTAAATCTTTATGGAAAGGTGGCAATGACTACTGTTCCATGCAATTAGACCTCACTACACATTTAATATAATCTTTCTCATCCATATGTTTATCTATTCATTCACTAAACATTTCTCCGGTGCTCACGCTGTGCCCAGCAGTGCGCTAGGAGCTGTGTATACCGTTGGAACAAAACTGGCAGGACCTCATGGAACTTACTGTTTAGATGTGGGGGTACACATCAGACACCTTGGTCAAAAGACCGACACAGAATTTCAAATTATGGCCAGTGCTGTGAGAAGGGAGCTCAGAGAAAGGAATAGGGAGAGAGGAAAACAAGAAAGTCCTTTCTGAGAACTTGACACTTAAGACCTAAAGAATAAAAGCCAACTTCTGGCCAAGATGGAGGCATAGGTAGATACACTTTGGCTCCTCACACAACCAAAAGAAGGACAACAACAAATTTAAAAACAAAAAATAAACAGAACTGCCAGAAAATCAAACTGTATGGAAGTCCGACAACCAAGGTGCTAAAGAAGAAATATTCATCCAGATCGGTAGGAGGGGCGGAGATGGGCAGCTGGGTTGGAGAGGACACGTGGCAAGGCGGTGGCTGGCAGATCAGGTCGTCCCACACGTGCGTGTGGATAAACTGGGAGAACAGCTGAGGAGTGAGACAGACCGTGCAATCCAGGGTTCCAGTGGAGGAAAAGAAAGCCTCAAAACCTCTGGCTGTAAAAAACTGTGAGGGTTGCAGTGGCAGGAGAAACTCCCAGCCTCATAGGAAAGTCCATTGGAGAGACCCACAGGGTCCTAGAATGTACACAAACCCACCCACCTGGGGAATCAGCACCAGAAGGGCCCAATTTTCTTGTGAGTAGTGGGGGAAGTGACTGAAAGCTGGCCAAGAGCTGAGCAAGCAGCACTGTTTCCTCTTGGACCCCTACCCCACACACAGCGTCACAATGCAACAACCAGAGTTGCCCAGCCCTGGCAAATACCTAATGCTCCGCCCCTTCCAACGATTTCCAAGGCCTGCCAAGACAACCAAATATGGCCCAAATGAAAGAACAGATCAAAGCTCCAAAAACAGAACTAAGCAATGAGCAGGTAGCCAACTTATCAGATGCACAATTCAAAACACTGGTAATCTGGATGCTCACTGAATTGGTTGAGTATGGTTGCAAAAGGGAGGAAAAAGAAGACTACGCAAAGTGACATAAAGAAAAAGATTCAGGGACCAACAGTAAAGGGATGGAAACCAGGACTCAAATCAATGATATGGAGCAGAAGGAAGAGATAAACATTTAACCAGAACAGAATGAAGAAACAGAATTAAAAAAAAAAAAAAAAGAAAGACAGGCTTAGGAACCTCTGGCACAACTTTAAACGATCCAACATCTGAATCATAGGGGTGCCAGAAGGAGAAGAAGAAGAGCAAGAAATTGAAAATTTATTTGAAAAAATAATGAAGGCGAACTTCCCCAATCTGGCCAAGGAAAGAGATTTCCAGGAGATCCAGGAAGCTCAGAGGGCCCAAAGAAGTTGGACCCAAGGAAGCATACACCAAGGCAATCAAAATCAAGTTACCCAAGATTAAAGATAAGGAGAGAATCTTAAAAGCAGCAAGAGAAAAGGAGAGTTACCTACAAAGGAGTTGCCACAAGACTCTCAGCTGATTTCTCAAAAGAAACCTTGCAGGCAAGAAGGGACTGGCAAGAAGTTCTCAAAGTCATGAAAGGCAAGGACCTGCATTCAAGATTATTCTGTCTAGCAAAGCTATCATTTAGAATGAAAGGACAGATAAAGTGCTTCCCAGAGAAGGTGAAGTTAAAGGAGTTCATCATCACCAAGCCCTCATTAAATGAAATATTAAAGGGACTTATCTAAGAAAAAGAAGATCAAAAATGATGAACAGTAAAACAGAGGGGAGGGAGGGGGGAAGAATGGGGGACAAAGTACAGGGAATAAGGAGCGTAAATAGTAGGCACAAAATAGGCAGGGGGAGGTTAAGAATAGTGTAGGAAATAGAGAAGCCAGAGAACTTCTATGTACGACCCATGGACATGAACTTGGGGCGGGGGGAATGCTAGGGGGCGGAGCAGTGCAGGGTGGAGGGGAATAAGGGCAGAAAAAAATGGGACAACTGCAATAGCATAATCAATAAAATATATAAAAAAAATAAAAACAACAACAAAAGCCAGCCAGCTGAAAGGGGGTGGGAGGGAATGCTCCCAGGAGAGGATAAGCTTGTCTAAAAGCCCTTGAGGTGGAAGGAAATAAACTTCCAGAGGGTTTATGGTCACCGGAGGGTGATGACTGAGGAGCAGAATTGCAGAAAGGGAGGTGAAGATCATGCCAGCCTAGTGGGGGTTTGGATTTTATCCCAAGGGTAATAAGAAGTCATTAAAGGGTTTTCAAAAGGGAAAGTTATACAACTTAACTTACATGTAAAAAGGACACACTGGCTGTGTAGTCAATTACCAGAGAGAGAAGGAATGGAAGGTGGTCATGAGTGCGTTGGTTATTTTGGCAGACTAAACATGATACTGCAGTGGCTTTGATTAGGACGAAGGTTGTGAAATGATGGGCTGATTCAAAATTCAAGAGGCAGAATTGCTAGGAATTGGCAGTGGATTTGTTGTGTGGGTGAGTGAGATGCTGCAGTGACTCCCAGGGCTCTGGCCTGAGCTCCTGGGGCTGCAGAGATGGGTGCGGCCCAGGAGAGGGGCATGTGGGTAAGGGAGATGGGGAGCAGGAGATCCAGAGTTTTCTTTTGGACACATAAAGTTGGAGATGTCTGTGATACATACATTGGAGACTACATGACGGGTTAACAGTTTGTATGAATTTGGAGCTCAGAATATGGAACTGGGCTAGAACAGAATGAAGGAGTGAGAGCAAAGAACCTGTACTTAGATTCATGGGTAATTCACTTAGGTAGAGTAGAGAGGGAAAAAGGGACCCAAGAATGAACTTCAAAGAACTCCATCATCTACTGGATGGATGGGTAGAGGGGGAAATAGAAGAAAGAGCCAAGAAACGATCCTCCAAAAAAAAAGCCATTAAGATAATGGTGGGAAAGACAGAGGGGAAGCATCATGGAAGGCCAGGGAAGACTGTATGAAGGAGGCGATGTCAGCTGCATCCTGTGCCCGAGTCTCCTGATGGAGCCCAATGGTGCCACTAGGACTTGGCTCTGTGGGTCATCCATGACTGGGTCAGAGCATTTCAGTCCAATGGCTGTCTCTGTGGGCTTTATATTATGTCTTCAAGTTCTTCCAGTATGTTATGAGAAGTACAGTATTACAGGTAGTTATGTAATCATAGACACTTCAGGAATATCAACATTTTAGATGTGAGACAGAGATTGTGAGTGTTCCTACAGTGTTTGTTTAAGGAACACGTATGTATAGATATGCTTCTAATGCCTCCAACAGTTTTCCTTCTACAGATGGCAACGAGTAATCTTTCCAAAGCAGTTAAAAAATGGGTCTTTGAATTTACCTTTAACTGAAATCAAATACTATCTGTTAGCAAATATAATGCTCTTGTCTGAACAGAGAAAGCCATAAGAGATTATCAGGGGTGATATCAGGGAATTTAAAGTCAAAAATTTTGAAAAGAAGAGGCTATTAAATTGTGGTCCATGTGACATAGAAATTGTAACCTCATGTTTTCTTCCAGTGCCTCAACCATCCAATCTCTTGAGGAGATGAAATATTCCATGAAGAGATTTTACAATATTCAACGGACAACTCTTTAAACTCGGATGCTGAAATGAATAACCATTCTTAATGGCAAACTCAAAGATAGAATGCACACTTCCCTGAATTTTGAGAGCATTCTCATCTAAAAGACCCACCACAGGAAATACCACTTTGTGCTACAATTTGATGGTGCCCCCTAGGAAACATGTGGGGACGGACTCTCCTGCTTGTCTATTTATTTTCATAGTCTTTCATCTTGGCCTTGGTTAATGGCTGCCACTTCTTTTTATAGGTGGTACTGCCATCCTTCTTGTCATCAACTCTTGCCACCTGTTCAGTTGTAGCTTTGGCTCTGCATGGGCCGGGAAGATAGATTATTGAGTCTGCTTAAAATTGTTGGTTAAACAACGGAGAAAGGCTGCAAGTCAAGACATGAAGCCTCTACCCTGAAAGAAGGTATCTGGAACTTACCACCTGACACCTTTCTGCCCTCATCTCTCCGATGCACCTCTCTGATATTTTGCTGAAGGACTGATTGCGCTGGAGCCACGTCAGACACCCCTTACTGTGTAATAGCCAGGGGATTATTGCTACTCAATAGGCTGGGAAGGTTTTTACCCTTCTTCCATTGCTGGCTTTTTCTATTCACACCGCAGAGCACTTGCTACACCCTAATCTACTGCCTACTGCATTGGTTCATGACATTCTTAGCAGAAAGCCCAAGGGAAAATATGGCTGCGGCCATGCAGCCTCTGTTGAGTTTCTGTCGACTTACCATCCGGTCCTGGTGGTCCAGGGGGCCCTGGGTATCCGGGGGACCCTCGTTTTCCTTCAGCTCCTGGTGAACCAGGGTAGAGCGCAGGGATGCCCGGTTCTCCTTTGAAACCTTTGGGTCCCATTTCACCTGGGGCGCCTCTCCGTCCATCTGAAAATCCAACAGCAATCACCAGCAGTGTGAAATTTGTGATATTTAACAGCTGTATTGGCATTCCCTCCCATAGGAGTCCTCTAGCAGGACTAGTAAATTTACAGTCCATTCAGTAACTTAACAAGTGGATGCCAGTGGTATGTTTCAACTCTGTTTTTCAACTTCAAAAAAGCCCCTCGTCTCACCTCCAAACAATGGCCTGAGGGTTGCTATCAACACTTGGCAGCAACATTTGTTGACTGCCTGTGCCCTCCCCAGCCTGCCGACAGAATCGGGCTAGTTACTCAACCGCAGCACAGTCTAACCTACTGGGAAGAGTTACTGTCACAGGGACAACTGCTCTGTGATGACATCCAAACGTGGCTGTGAGACCCATTATGGTGGCTAAACCCAGTCTACAAGAAAGAGCACCAGTACCAACCAGGTCGTGCAGTTGGTAAGGGTCCTGAGGGGACACATTTTGGTTGAAGTTTTGATGCCATGGAACCACATTACCTTCACTTCTGACAGTCGGGCCGGGGAAGCCTGGTGGGCCAGGGTCCCCTGGCAGACCCCGGGTTCCTTGGTCCCCATGGGTTCCTGGAAATCCTGGGTCACCTCTGCCACCTGGAAATAAGAGTAGGACTGTTGTCTATGACTCACGACAGACGTTTTCCTTTTCACTGAATGCATACTTACCAATACTTTGCACATGGTGTGAGGCATAGTGGGGGTCCAGATGTTTAATATATAATGGTCCCTGTTTTCAAGGAGCTTGTCCCCAATCAAACAGGGGGAGACAAGATTTCTATAAATATCATAAAACAACAGAGAGGCATAAAAGATACAGAGAGGTTTCAAAGGAGAAGAAGGTTACTTGGGGAGAAAAATCTGACATTGAGGGACCATGGAGAATAAAAACAGTAGAAGTAGATTTCTGAGCTATTGCTACATGCACTGGGCTCGGCGTTAAATACTTTACATACATTTTATTCCCATAAAACCATGTGGCATGGATAGTACCACAGTCCTGATTTTACAAAGAGGTGAAGCATTGTGCTCAGGGGCATTCATGTTTCCTGGAGCAGGAACGTGACAATAGAGTTTTGGACAGGGGTGGAGTTTGAGGGGATGGGCAACAAGGGAGGGAGTGGGCAGAGGATGTTCGAGGGAAGGATGTTCAAAAGGGAGGTGAGCCCACACGGCAAGAACAGAGCTGGGGGCACTCGGCAGGACTGGAGTGTCAGGCTCAGGTGACTGGGAGTGGTGGAACATCACGTTGGATAAGCAGCTGAGTGTAACGTGAGACCAATGAAGGAAATGATATGATTAGGAATCTCCCCATGCATGAGGCAATGTGCTCCTCTTCCCCTGAGCCTCAGCTCCTGCCTGGATTGGCATTTCCTATTTGCTGGATGAATAACATATAAATGCTTTCAAAAGCCTTATCCATAAATAAGCATAAAGTGGCATTGCTAAGTTCTTTGGCATGTTGGATAAAGACATGCAAAAGTAGTTATTAAACCAATACATGGGTGGTATATAAGCAGGAAAGTCAGTCCTTGACCCCTCAGCATATATGATAGGGATAAGCCCGACCTATTGAGTATAGGAAAGAAGCATTAGAGGATTTTTATTTAAAAATCCCATCCTTTAAAATCCATATCTGATGAGTAAATTTTAGCATGTATGTTATTCATTCATTCAGATAAATATTTATTGAGCACCCACTAGTTGCCTGGGATTTATTCTAGAAATTGGGGATACAGTAGTGAACCACACAGGCTAAAGTCTCTGCCTTCATGAAAACTCGTATAACATGGGTAAATCACCCATCCATAATTATATGTACAATTATTTGGGGGAATGCTCAAAACATTTTTCAAAAACATTATTCAGAAGGATGCACATTCAAAAAGGTTCAGAGACCATTATTGCTGTTACCACAGAATTTGAATCATATTTCAGTACGATCTTACCAACTTGGAAGGCTGAGCTAAAATATCAAGATGAGCATGAGCCACAACACCTGCAAAATCCTTCATTTACACACAGGGGCCAACTGTGACAATGGAGCATCTTCCTAGGTAGTTCGTGTGCACAGATCTGGGGATTTAGTTCCTTGAAGTCTAAAAGGATGTGACTGTCTAAAAGATTAGAGCTTGTAATCAGTACTGGGTTTCAGACTATCCAGCAGAAGAGCATATGCACCTTGGTAGTTTTGGAGCAGAGACTTGTGCAGGGGGTTGGGCCAGCTGCCATGGAGGCCTGAGGTGCAGAAGGACTGGATTTCTTCACTGAGACTGCAGATGGCAAAGCCAGAGCCTGCACAAGGTATGCAGCACTGGAAGAATTTCCCAAAAGCGGGTTTCACCTGAAAAGTCAGGGGGCACCTTCTCAGGCAGAGGCAAAGTGAGGGTCTCCTGTGACACCACATTGAAGCCATGAAGGAAGGTGTATACAAAACAGATTCTACAAAGCTGTGGTCTGAACATCTTTTGATTTATTTAGATAAATCTTTCTTGAAAGTTCATGACTCTGTGTCCCTAACAGAAGAGAAGTACTTTCCTGAAAGAAAAGTTGCATACAAACCTTTAGCTAGAGAAGGATGGATGGGGTAGGCAGGTGGGCCTGGGAGACCTCGGTCACCCATTTCTCCCTGGAGAAAAAAAGAGGAAAAGAGAAGAACGTGAGACTGACCTTTTGGAGTTTTGGCTTAGCGTACCCTTCTGAGTAATCGAACCATAGACTCTGCCTGGGGCTCTGTCCCCCTATGCTGAGACAGCAAGTTCAGGCATCCCTGACACACCAAGAAACCACCAAGTGAGCTGTGCCACTATCACTTCAAAATCCTTGTCAACCCCTGGACCCAGTCAGGAGGCTGCTTTCTGTAGAGTGGGCTGTTCCATTGTTGATAGTGGTATCTGAGTCACCCTTTAGGGTGAGCTGAGGGTGATGCAACAACACCCTGATACAATGCCATTGGGTTGTAAGAGCTAACGACTTTGAGCTTCACTGAGTCCCTCAGGCCTGGCCGCGAGTTCCCGTCCTCACCAGACATGTCCCCCCGTCCAGCAGGAAAGGCTCCCTCTCTGGCTAGTGTCCCCATCAGCTGGTGTAGCTGCACCTCACCTGGCCCTCAGCCTACCGGGTTTCACCACCCTGCCAGCTCATGAATAATCTAAACACAGTCATATCTTCTCTTGGGACCCAGGAGTGCCCCCCCACGTTACTACAAAGCCCCTCCCACATCCCTGCTGGTTCGCTCTGCCCCCAGTGCAGCGTCTGAGTGTAGCCTCCACCTGTTTGTCAGGCAGCCTCCTAAGGCTGGGAAAGATATGACTAACAAATGAATGTCCATCTCATCTCTCCAGTGCTAGGTGTTGTGTGTCTGGCTACCTATTCTTCATAGGGCAGAGGACACCTCCTTGTCCAACACGGTGAATAGGAGGTCACTAGAGTACCACCCAAGGAAAAGAATTGAAAACCAAGCTCACCTTGGGTCCTCGGGGCCCATCTGGGCCTGGATAGCCATCCGGTCCTCTGCTTCCCTGCGGGGAAGATGTTTGGTGCTTATTTTTATCTCTATAATTTAAAGGACTGACCGAAATACCTTTACTTTGTCTAATGGAATTAACAATAATGCATTAAAATCACCTCCTACCCAGTCCCTGTTTAATTTTTTTCTGATTTTGGTCTCAAAAAAATTTTTTTTAAAGTTGCTTTATTTAAATCAGGATCCAAAGTCAAAACATTACATTTAGCTGATGTGTCTCTTAATTTTCTTGTAATTCACAATAGCATTTTCTTCTTTCCTACTTTTTTAGTAACTTTTTGTTGTTGCTATTGAAGAAACTGGGTTATTGGTACTGCAAATAGCCAATGTGGTGGATTTGATCCACTTCATCCTTGTGGTGTTGTATAATATGCTCCTCTATCCCTTCTATTTCCTCTAAATTAGTTGTTAGATCTAGAGGCTTCTTTAGGCTTGGCTCAACTTTTGAGCAAGAAGTGTTTGTGGATGGTGCTGTGTCCTTCTTTCCTACTGTGTCCCTTCAGAAGGCACAGATGCAGAGTTTAAGACATTTTATAATTGATAAGTGGGGTCAAGTGCTGAAAACCTGATGCATCTATTAACAACTTGCTCCCAGATAGGTTTTGAAAAATTTCTGTTAACACCAAATGAGCATTAGAGCCTCTCCATTTAGATTTTTTTCTCTTTATTAAAAAAAAATCCCTAGTGCTAACTGTTGCTTTCTAATTTCCCCAGGTAAGCATCAAAAAAAGCCCTGTCATATCTGGGTAGATATGTGAAGTTTTAAAAATAACCCAGAAATTTATTCCATCTTGCTAAAGAATATGTACAGTGTGTCCCCCCAAATTCAGAATGCCAGGTGCCAGAGGTATAAAAAAAAGGACGTTATCTGATTATTTTACATGATATTTTGAAAGCTAGGGGCATGTGGGCTGAAAGTCATGTTGTTTAGAATGAATGAAGATTGGCTTACTTTTGTGTTTTTCATGGTGGGCCTATAATTTAGACTGATTTTCTTTCACACTAAGTAAAGCTGGAGATTAAAAAATGAAGGCACCTTTTTCTGATATTAAAGATGATCTCCTATTGAGAGGCCATCTCATGAGATAGGTTAAGGATCATTGAAGAGCTTGCCAATGCCTGGGGAGTTGGCAACTAGGCATTCAGTCTAAGTTGTGTCCGGGGCTGACATAACAATCCAGCATAAATATGCTGGACTTTGTCATATCTATACACCATCCCATACCACTCAACACTGCTCAGCCATGTTGTGACATCATCAACAAGCAATAACAAGCATCCCCAGAACTAAATAAAGCTAACTAAATTCTACCAATCTGTGGAGAAATGAGGGAGGGATGGCCAATTCTTTGCTCCTGTAAAGAGAATCTTTCCCAGAACCTTCTCTTTTCTGGTTTATCTTATTTCAATACGTTGTTAATGCTGGTGTTCACAGTTGCTCCTTGGCACTGTCTTTGATTACTGGTTCCATTTTATACCTTAAAACTAAAGTCTGCGAGTACAACTGAGATGTTAGCTGGGGAGTCATCACAACTTGGCAAGTAAGATAACACATGGTAGACATGTCTGCGGCGCAGTGTGCTACTAACATGCAGGACAACTCAGCTGTGTATGTATATCCTGGGCATTTCCTATTTTCATAGTCGAGGAAACGATTTCCTCACAGCATCTGGGATGCCCCACTTAATTGGAAGCATCTGCTTCTCCCCAGTTGTTGCAAGTGCAGAAAGCAAGCTGGAAAACATGAGCCTTGGATCTTAACATCTGGGCCACAGCAGTCAGATGCCCCAGGGGGTCAGTGCCTGGTGAACATCCTGTCCTTCATTAACTTTTGAGTTCTAGAGGACAGCTATGTTGAACTGCATTTTAAAAACACTGTAATTCCTTAATGTTGGGTCTAGAAAAACAAATCATGATTATGATTTCACTAGCACATGGCAGACAATCAAAGTATTAACAACTAGTTATACTTCAATTATGTGGAGTGGGTTAAAACAGATTACTTTTAAATGCTAATGTTTGCTTTAGTCCTTTGTCTCTTTACGGCACTTGCTTACCATAATCCTTAAACTAGAAATTGGCCTTTTGGCCCTTAGTTGTGGGTATTGCAAGGACAGCACCTGGTTCCAGGCACATGCCTTTGGGCATACTCCTATCAGTTATTAATGTTCTGAGAAGATGAGGGTAATTAGGGGCCATCCCTGGTTGAGTTTAAGGTAAAAGCACAGGAATAGGAAAAATAAGGTCAATTGAAGTTGCAGGGAGGAATCAAGATTGGTACTCCTTGTGAGTGGTCAAAACCAGAATACGGGATTAAGACACTTGAGTCTAGAGCTTGTGGAGGTCAGAAACCAGGTCTGGGAGGTCAAGTCCCCTCTGTAGTCCCCGGGGGAATGATAGGACCCATTGCTCACTACCTGGCTCCTTCTGGTTCTCCAATTATGCAATGGAGCCATGAGCAGGAGTCATGGTTTGAAGGTTGTATCAATTATTTACTTAGTTATTGTTTTTAAAAGGCCGGGGGAGAGAAAGAGAGACAGTGAAGGAGAGAGAGAAATTTCAATTTGTTGTTCCACTTATTTATGCATTCACTGGTAGATTCTTGCATGTGCCCTGACTGGAGATTGAACATGCAACTTTGGTGTATCAGGACAATACGCTAACCAACTGAACCACCTGGCAAGGGCTGAATCTTTTTTTTTTTTTAAAGTCTATTCCTATGTACCTGCAAGGACTGAACTTTGCAAATACTAGCCCAGGGGCACCAAGGTGTGTGTGCCATAATGTTGGCTGCATGACTGTTGAACACAGCAAGCAGGTAGAAACCACTGTGAGGGGCTTGTTAAGCAGACATGTTATATCCATTTACTGCAATTATCTACAGCTTATTAGTAGAACTATGTAAATGTGAACACACTACTGTGGAATAATCTCCAAGGCACATTAGATGAAAAAACAAGTGTCGGAATGACAGATATTTTCTCTTTCTGTGGTTAAATTACATGCATGTAAAAATACATGTTCTTCATATGCCAGCTCTTATCTGAAATGATACCCACAGAGCTATCACCAATAGTTGCCTCTGGGCAGACTGCTGGGGGCCTGTGATAGGAAGAAGATGTGCTATACATTCAGTGATCAAATTAGTGAAAATAACGAATAGTCAAGATAATAAATAATTAATTAAAATATCTATTTCTCTGTGTACTCTCTCACATGACCTAGCATTCCGACAATTCTAAGCCTGATCTGGATTCGCAGTACATTTCTCGCATAGTGTTTTCTTCTCAAAAAATTGCCAAAAATCTGCCCACAGAACACACGGTAAAAATATCTAACTGGGTCATCATTAAAGATAAACAAAGTATCAAAATGTGTGAGGTCAATATGTAAAAAACGTCAATATGTAGGCAAACCCTTGGTCACCACATTGACAACCTTCCTAAGAGTGACACACAATGACACAGAGGATGAGTGTGACACTGGAAGGTACAGAAGCTGAGGCTGGTAAGGGCTGGATGAGGGGAACCCTGGAGGGAGAGAACCAAAGGGCTGGTTTGCAAATATGAGAGAAGGGCAAATAATTTGACTCAAGCTTTTTAAATGATTTGGACCAAGCATTATCTATGCTATGGTAAACTCACGGAAAATTTTAAATGTTTTTTCCCCCCCGCCCCCGGGGCAAATTTTTTTGCTCCTGGAATTCCAGTGTCTTCATGCTTGACCTCTGTGAGATGTTTCAGGCCTGGAGCAGATTGCATTTTATGTGTCACACTTACTTTCTGTCCTTGTACACCTTTTTCACCATCAAAGCCAGGGGGACCCTGAGTAGGAAAGAAAACAGAAGCAATAGCAGCTTAGAATATGTAGCAATGTTTCCCAGAGGGCATTACTATGGCAGCTGGCATGGACTAAAAACCCACTTTACCAGGAAAATATTGAAACCATCGGAAACTCCTTTTCTAAAGGAGTTGGCTCATTTCAGTGACACTTTCATATGATGCATCTTATCTACCATTTAAAGAACTATGGAGAAATTAATACAGATGGTATGGTAAAAATGGTAGATATAACAAAAGGCCTGCACTCCAGTGTTCTCATGAGTCTCTGTTCTTATTTTGGAGATTGTAACATGTCTTTCTGTGGTAGTGGTTGCCACGAGGCCACTTTCTTTTGGTTTTGGCCACATTTCCCAGCTCACTGTGGCTGGGCTTGGCCAGGTGACTGAGTTCTGGCTGATGGAGAGAGGGCTGAAGTGGCAGGTGCCATCTCAGGCCACCATCTGAGAAAAGAGCTCTGCCCTTGGGCATGGGAGCCTCAGGTGGCTCAATCTCCTTGGGATGAGACACTCCCCTACCCCATCCCCAACCCACCAGGGATATTTTTGTTGGATACTTAGGGTAGCAAGAAATCAACTTCTTGTGTGCTGCAAGCAGTCTACATTTTTGTTACCACAGATTAATTCAGCCTAATACAAGCAGAAATGTGTCTGTGTTCTGCTCCTACCTTTCTCCAAATGCACGTACAAAGTTTTAAAAGCCACAGTTATTGGGTGATAATGACATGTCAGTCTCATCTGCTGTAGCCAACGGACTACTCTGGTTTGGGATGTACACAGAGGGGGAGGCTGCATGTGTGGAGGGGAATGGGGGCATGAGGCAAATATTTAAAAAAAAAAATATTTTTTTCTGTGAACAAAAATCTAAAAAACTAACATCTATTTAAAAATCAAATCAAAACAAAAGAAGCCACAATTATGGAACACGTTTTACCCGGAGTCCTGGAAAGCCCATGATTCCTTCTTCTCCCTTGAAGGAAGAGCCCTAGGAGAGAACACAGAGACCTGAGGTAGAGACCAACACTTCACACCTTACCTGCTCAGGAATTCCATTTCTCAGTGGCCTGCCCGTGGCCAGCCTGCCCTTGGGGTTCTCTATTCCAGCCTAGTGAAATGGCAGGTTCGTAGGGATCTGTGAGTTGGCCTGGATTATCACGTATCTAGGAATCACCTGCCATCGCCACACAGTAACGATGTGGGAGGACAGTGAATAAATACCAGGGCAGGCATGACAACGATTAAAGAGAGGGCAGAGCCATCACACAGCTTAGAGCCCCCGAACAGAAGCAGGACCATCAAGCCGGCCCAGCCCCCTCCACCCATATCTTCTCTTTTAAAACATTTAGGTTCATGTTATGAGCTTCACAAAATGTTGATTAGCTGGTGTTTATTGTGCAAAAAGGAAGACATTCTCAAACTATTTTCTGAAAATAAAACCTCATAAAACTCAATGATAATACTTTCTTGCTGTCGACAAATGGGCTGAAAACCAAAAGTCCATGAGTCCTTATAACTCCTGCACATTCTATGATGGCAGCGGGATCACCAAGAATCTGGCAACTGCTGGTGAGAAGAAACGTCTGTATTGCTTGACTTACTTTTCTTCCTGGTTCCCCTCTACTTCCTTTTTCACCCTGTGAAGAAAATGAAAAATAGGAAACACTCAGTAATTCGAGAATAGTAATATTTAAGGTTAATCAGGGTTTATGATATGAAATGAAAAGTATTTAATAAAACTATAAACAATCATTATAAATGAAACAAAGCTAAATTTTACAGCTTCAAAATTCAAGGAAAAAATGTATTATTTCTTCTGGATTTTAATAATGTAAATTAAATTGCATTATTTTTGGTGTGATTTCAAGGCTATCTCTGTCCGTGTGGTTTCCTTGTCTCTCCACAGCTGCAAGCATATACACCATCCTGTGGTGGGAGACTATGCCCAGAGAAAAGCCCTGAATTATAATATTCATTTAAATAAAATATTATGAGAAGGGTTCTCTGAGGAAAAGACACATTTGGAATATTAAAACCCCAAGCAAAAGTGGCTTTGGAAAGCAATGTCAACTCTGTATGATGTAATTTTTCACTTCTCTTGGTTTAAAGTGGTGAAAGAAATGTAGTGACTGGCCCATCCTTGCTCTCCATGGCTGCTAGGATGGCACCCAGAGCCCTGCAGACCAAGACTGCCCCCTACAGGCTGGCCTGGTCCCAGGCCTGGACCACCCCTGTTGGTGGCAGAAAATGAAGGAAATGTGTTCCAGAAGTTTGAGCATCTCAGCGCGGATAGAACCTGCTCTGGTCTTGCTCCGTCCTCAGCTCCTGGACAGAGGCCCCACCTGGCTGAGGGCCAGGTCACCTCTAGGAGCCCCTGTTCCAGCTCGGTTGTCCAGGCACATCTATCTCACTGTCTCAGCTGTACACAACCGCCTGCTTCTGATAATTCCCTCTGGCACTTCTGCCTTGCATCAGCCACCTTCCAGGCCACTTTAGTCAACGGTCAAGTCACCCATCACTCAGCCACAGCTGCCCAGATTCATCTTCCCACTAAGGCAGCGGTCATGCCTACCTCTCCCATCCATGACCAAGCACCCAACCCCCATCTTGACAGATACTTGAGTGTTGGAAATTATATTCTATGTTTGGGGTTTTTATTTTGGTTGATTGCGCCCGACTTTATACTGGGCGTTTCACCTGTGGCTCCTTGTAATCCACTCCACAGTTCTACAAGGTTAGTATTACCATCTTCAGTCGGTACAAGGGAACACCAAGGTTCAGGGAGGTTAAGTGGCCCATCTGAATGAGTCAGTGGTAGAGCAGGATGATTTTTATTTGACTCCAAAAGTATGTTTTTAATCAAATGAAATGTTAGTAGACATTATAAGGGCCACAAAATTAATTTGGATTTAAAAACCCCCATAATTATTCTCTCTGTCAGCAAAGAGTAAAAGTAGGTTTATTTTGCAGATTACAGCATTTTGTCAGATAGTTCCATACACTGGGTTTGAACTGTGCTCTGACCGTAACCTATGTCTACACCGGAGACTTGCATACTTAAGGCTAGATTTGAGATTTATTAAAATGGATCCTCGTGTTGTTTCGAATTCTTCACAATTGTTTAAGATGATGGACTGACGCAGTTATTTAACTGAATGAATTAATTGTGCTTTCATGCACAATTTGGTGATGAGGCCTTTTCCTCTTTGAATGTGACTGTTTGAATAAAATTGAAAAAATTTACCTTTTTCTCTTGTCTCTTTTTTAAATTTCAACTGGGAATACAGTCTATTTTGGTGAAGCCCCTTTACCTTATACTGATCTGGATAGATCACTTCCTTCGTAGGCCCAATGATTGCGTGATTGTTGTCTGATGGAATCCCATTGGGTCCTGGCTGTCCCATGTCACCCTGTGAATAGTTCAACAAAGCAGTAGTTTTTATACATTGAGAAGACACATGCTTTTATTATCAACCTTTAATAAAAACATGATCCCACCATTAACTGCATTTTTGCTCTTTGCATATTACTTATTATATGCACATCAATTTTAGAATGTTATATTTATAATATATAACAAAACAATAATTTAAAATGAAATAATCATAATGTAAAATTATTTGTATCCTGCTTGTGTTAATAATAATGTATGCATAAAAGGTGGTTAGGTTGTTCATAATTTGGGGCTGCATTTGCTTCTGTGGAATTACTTCCTTATGATACATTTCTAAACAAGGAAATAATATTAAGTCCAAGGGCTAAATGAATTTTGGTTTTTGATAGGTATCACTCTATTGCTTTCCAGGATTGGTACCAAGATACAAGAAATGAATGGTTACTTCAGTTTTGCCACTACTTCACACCCTTAAGAGTGTTTTTATATAATAAAAAGTAGCATCTTTAATCAATATAATATCTAAAGACTGTTTCAGTTTGCATTTTTATCACTAGCAAGAATCACTTTTATGTAGTACACAGAGCTGAAACCTACAGATCTGTGACACCACTGGACAACTACCCCAAAATAACATGCTCAGCTGGCCTCCTGGGGACTATGTGACATGCAAAGAAAGTTATTGTGTTTTCTTTCGCTATTTCTGTGTATAAACTTTATAATATCAGTTTGAGCCCAGGCATCACATAGTATGAAGAGGAAATTGAAGTGATGTATTAGCTGAAGTGGTACTCCACAGTACATTCTGAGTGTCTGCTAATATTACATCTAAAAAGAATACCCAAACTGTTTATTCATTTCCCCTTTATGTATTTTTTAAACAATTTAAATAAACTTTTTGTAGATTATAAACATTAACTTCATTTCCATTCTATATACAGTGACTATTCTTCTCTTTACCCAATTTTTTCTTCCAAAGTTTATCCTCTTTTTATGTTATTTGTTACTATTTTGTTGTATTTGATTGTACAAGAATTTAAACTTTTATGTATTTAGATCTTTCAATATTTTTCTCTTATAGTTTCTCATATGGTATTAACACAAAGAAAAAGTCCTTTCAGCACCTGAGTAGTGACAGTTTAATGTGCTATTCAATCAAAAAGTAAAACAAAATGAAAATGCTCAAAGGACACCAAATGAGCAAATCTGTTTTATAGGTTTTGGGGTGAATGCGATGGGGTTGTGTGTTGGTGGGTTTAGGTCACTGGGCAGGGATGCCATGTTGAGCTCTTCATGTACATAATCTCAAGTGAGCTGTTCAAAGGCCATGTGGTCTTTGAATCTTGGCACTGTGGGCGATTATAAAAGTCCACGTGGTCCTCTCTCCTGCCTTTGAAGCCAGCCGGAGCTGGCCACATCACCTGGTCCCCTCGCTGGCTCCACATTAGTCTGAGGCTCTGGCTTCCGTCTCCTCAGTCACTCCCCGATTCCTCATGTTAGAAAACGGCTGAAGTTACGTCTATGTCAGAGGCCCAGGCCACCCTAGCGGGTTCACTCTTACTGTCTTATTGCTCCATAACTATCACTGAAGTGTGTTTGATAACTTGGCACTTTTTAATAATTATTTTCTATGCAAATGGTCTATTTGCAGATCACCTCAAGAGAACAAGATAAAACATAGTCATGAAAATTTCTTTCCTTACTACTAAACACTGCATGCATCTGCTCTTATCTGTTACGTTTCCTTTACCTTTTCACCCTTTTCTCCATAAAAGCCAAGTCCTCTGTTGCCCTGAAAGATAAATAAGTTTCTGTAAGTTTTTGAAAGTCAATAATCATAGTAAAATGTTTTTTTTTTTTTTTTTTTTAAAAAAACCTAAAATTTATTTGCAACATCACTGGACAACTATCCTTGCATAACATCCTGGCTTTACCTCCCAGAAACTAATTGACACAAAAAGAAAGTTACTCAAACAAATGGAAACAGATTCATGGATACAGAGATCTAACTGATGGTTGCCAGAGAGGAGGGGAGTCGGGGAGATGGGTGAAAAAAGTGAAGGGATTAAGTACAAATTGGCAGTTACAAAACAGTCACAGGGATATAAAGTATAGCATAAGGAATATAGTCTATAATATTGTAATAACTACATAAGGTGTTAGATGGGTATTAGATTTACCGAGGGGGCTCACTTCATAAATCATATAAATGTCTACCCAAAATGCTGTACACCTGAAATTAATCCAAAATAATATTGAATATAAACTGTAATTGGAAAATAAAGTTAAAAAAGAAAGTTACTGTCTTTTGTTTAGCTATCTCCCTATGTAAACTGTGTAATAAAATTCTGAGCTCAGATACCACATAATATGAACAGGAGCAAATTGAGATGATGCATCAGCTGCAGAAGGTGGCACTTCATAGTGTATTCTGAGCCTTCATTAAGATGAAACCTAAATGATGGAATTCTGGGGTTTATAAAAATGATGCTATTCTTTTAATACAGATAGGCTTTTAAGAAATTTTTTATTTTATACTCTAAGTAAAACCTCAGAAATAGTGGACTAAGAACAGCCATTTTGTTGGTTTTGGGAACAGTTTACTGTTTGCCTTTTGAAATATATTCTGCTCTTCAAACATGCTGATGATCAGCAAACTGACTGTATTATCGATTCTATACTGGCTGTATGGACTATAACAGTCAAGGGTCCATATGCTAAATGCTTCACTCTCCCTTTAATCCTCTGCACCACAGGATGAGTCTGGGTATCATAGATGGTCAAACGGTCATATCCTTTGACCAAGGCCTCATAGCTAATGAGTGGCAGAGCTCAATTAGGTCCCAGGTGTTTTTGACTCTTAATCGTTCCTGTAGCATCTCTACAGGTTAGTGACTTGGAGCATTTGTTCGAGTCTGGACCCTTCAGATTTAGAAAGTAGCCATTTCCCCTCCTTGGGTCCCGTATTTGAAGATCGTGATTCATTCTCTCTTCTGCCTCAGCTATTTCTCATTTTTGGTGAGATAATCCTAATTTCACAAAAACATTTCCTATCCTTGAATGCTTTTAGGGGATGGTGATTCTTGGGGTTTTATACAATGTCTTCATCTTCCTTCTTGCCCAAGAGGCAAAGCTAGGCCAAGTGCCTTAGCAAGTATTTAACAATTTCATGAGTGGAGTTGCCATGTACGGGAGAACTGACTCAATTTTGGTGCCTAAATTGGTGTAGATGAAAAACTACAAAGGTAGACCAGGGAGATATTGCAGGTTCAGTTCCAGATCACCAGATCACCACAATAAAGTTGGCTCCGCAATAAAGTGAGTCATATAATTTTTTTGGTTTCACTGTGCATATAAAAGTTATGGTTATACTCTACTGTAGTCTCTTAAGTGTGCAATAGCATTGTCTAAAATACAATGTACATATCATAATTAAAAAATACTTGATAGCTAAATGAATGCTAACCATCACCTGAGCCTGTTGGAAAAATGGCGCCAACAGACTTGCCTCACTCAGGGTTGCCACAAACCTTCAATTTGTAAAAAACACAGTATGTTTGAAGCGTATTAAAGCAAACTGCAATAAAATGAGGTATGCCTGTACTACATTATAGAAGTAATACTTTTTTTTTCTGCCCTCCAAACAACTGCTCTTTTCTTGGGGTATTTACGTTTTCATCTCAATAAAGATCATGTGGGACCGTATCCGATCTTTCTCTCTGCAGTATACCTCCCGCCCCCTCAGTGCCCCTGAAAATAAAAACAAAGCATTTAATTAATTTTTGCTTCTCTCCCACCTGGCTGGGAGCTGAAATCAAAGCACAGAAATGCAGCCAGGCTAGATTAGAATGAGATCTGCTCAGGCCCCTATGGTCCCTTAGCCTCATGAGCTGGTTGTCCAAGTCACCAGGAAGTGACCTGGTGGGGGGTGAGGCCCTTTTGTGTTGCAGCCAAGCGGGGATCTGAGGTGACCTTGGGGCTACCCACCCCATCCTACATCCGCTTCTCTTGGCTGCTTCTCTTGGCTGTGGGCCGTTCCCACCCTGCTCGGGGCTGCCAGACAGTGGGGAGCCCAGTGGTGGAGGCAGCAGCTCTAACAAGCTCCAGCCCTAGCCGGAAGCCATGTCAGAAGTGATAGGACCTGCAGGCCTGGGGGTGGTGGCAGCTGAGGTCCCCAGGAGGTCACTGAGATGGGATTTCTATGGAGCAGGCATGAGAATGTGCAGGCTGGGAAGATGGCCTCAGCCACATGCAAGCCACAGAACGGAACGGTCCTTAAATGTTGATAATGGTAGCCCAGTAGTTGGCTCATGTCAATTTTCTTTTAAATTTTTTAAATTACAGCTTACATTCAATATTGTTTTGTATTAGGTATACGGCATCGATTCATGTCAAGTTTTGATCAAATAAGTCCCTTGCTAACCTCCCGCTGTTTGTCTTGGACATTTACATAGCTTTCACATATCATACTGAACTCTAGTTCTGTCTCCAAGTTCTAAGAAGCCACCTACTTTGTTGTGCTCCAGCCAACTTAATAATCTTTCTTTGATAGAAGCAGTACAGCTTTGGGCTCTAGCCTAAGTTGAAAATCATTGACTATATATATCCCTAGAGGCTGACATCACAGTCTTATAGACTCTAATTATATCCAGGTAGGAATGCCACTGGTTCCCCCACACATAGCTACCTTTTGTCCATTCTCGTTAATTAACACATACAGATAAATACGAACTGTCCTTAAATCTAGATTCCTCATCAAACATTTACCAGTTTGATTTTCATACAACAAGAATGTTATGTGATTTGCAAACAACAAATCATTCAACACATGCACTTATTTAATGTGCCAGCTACTCCAGAGGTACCACTGGATTTATCTCTGGAGTTTGTAACATTAAGTCTTACAAACTTACAAAATGGTTCCCATCATGAAATAAGCAATCTGTAGTTGCCCATTATGTAGTTCTATGATCCAGAAAGATATACACAGACACATAAGCCCCCCCCCTTCCCTCTCCCTCACCCCCAGCAATCAACTTACTTGCTGTCCTTTTGGTCCAGGGGGTCCAGGCGGTCCCTGTACAAATACAAAGAAATTTGTAAACTGTTTATTTATCCCAGGACCCAGATAACATCTGCTAGAAGGCCTGGGAAAGCCATTCACTGTATATTTAGAACATCATGCTGTATGTATAGAGGGTTCTGATACATCTGTCTCAGCAGGCAGGAAAGGCTGGGGGGAAGAGGGCTGGGGTCAGGCCCAGTTCCCAGAATTGGCCGGCTGTCCACACACAGCTGTTTTGGGTTAGCTTTTCTGAATTCAGACTTTTGACTGCACCCATGTCTTATTCACGTTAGCTCTGCTCCCTTTCCAAAGTCCCAGGCCCTTTCACTGCCGAGGCTGTTTCTCCTGACTCCCTCTGGGGTTGCCCACTGGCCACTGTCTAGCACTTTTTGCTGGTCAGCAAATGTTCACAGGCAGAGTTAACCTACAGGCAAATACTGGAAAGCCCACCCACAAGTATCACCATGTGTCCATCTGCGAAGAATTCAGTGTTAACACCACACTTATAATGAAGTTTTAGAAGTGCATGAAAAGAATAATTTGCGTCTAAGTACAGAGGAGTGGACAGGCAGGGGATTGTGGGTGATTTCAACGGCCATATGAAGAACTTAAAGTTGTCACATAAGCAAAGGACCCAGGTACAATCTGTTCTTTCATAGTTCCCTGAACCGTATATCTAAAGTATAATCCCCTCCCCAAACCGTGTGGTATGTGTGCTTTGAGGCAACAACCATATGCAATAGGAGAGAAAAGAACCTCTCATCATATAGTCCCTGTTTCATTCCATTTGACCAAATCTTTCATAGCAGTGGGCTACTTGCAAAAATGACTTTTATAGCACTAGGGAAACTTGGTTTGTAGAAACTAAATCAACTATATCAATTATTTCTATAGTTTGAAGAAAATTATGAGTACTCTTTTCAGGCATACGTTGCTCCATTATTTCTCAATATCTGTCAAGAACCTGATACTCTAACCTCCCTTGAGAATGCCCCTCAGTTTTGAGCAATGGTCTTCTGTGAGAAGGTCTCTCACACTTGTAGCCAAAATCTCTCCTTTTTAAACTTAAGGTTTATTTGTCTTCCTGCTAAAAAAATGTGTGGAATGAAGGTCAAAAATCTTCCTGACCTAGCCAGTTTACCTCCTGGGTCCCTAGTGCCATGGTAGAAGTGGCCTGAGGACTGCTCTCCTTTCTCCTCCTCTCCCCTCCTTGCATCAAGCCCTCCTTCATCCAAGTATTTGTCTTGCTGAGCCTCGCTCTTATCATTTGAATTGCAGGGGGAGTGAACACCTGTAGACTTCCATTCAGGTGGGGCATTAGGGCCATTTCTTTAATTGATGTTCAATATTTCACTTGTTATAATGGCCATGCCCAGGTGCAATGCACCTGCTAGGATGGCCATACCCAGGTGTAGGATACTTTTGCCCTAATGGCCATGCTCAGGTACAATACATCTGCTACGGATGGCCATGCCCAGGTGTGATACAACTGCTATAATGATCATGCCCAGGCATGACACACCTACTATGGTGGCCATGTCTGGGCAGAGCCCACTTCCTTCTTATCACCCGGTTGGACTTTGGTTTGCTTTGCCCAGGGATGACGGGCCCCTTGTTAGCGGGTTAGGTGTCGGGCGGAGAGACCTTGTGCATGACTGGAAGAGCACTCAGCCAGCAGCAAGTTTAAATTTGACATAGTTGGCAATGATCTGGTGACCACTACTTGGGTCCTCATTCTTCAAACTTAATAGCAGCAAAACATAGGCAAGGGATGACCTGCTTTGTTTGGACTTTTTGGGTAGTGACCACAAGCATCATAGTTTTATTGTGGAATGTTCACCTGTATCAACAGTTGAAGAAGCTGCATCTTTAGAGGATACCTTGGCAATGGTCCAAGAGAGAGTACATCTATGTGGTACTTACTGGTCTTCCTGGAGCTCCAACGGGACCCATTGGCCCCACAGGCCCATGGCGGCCAGGAGGCCCCTAAAGACAGGCAACAAAAGAAGGCTGTTAAGAGGGGTTGACTGGTACTTGGAGTCCCGAATTCTTAAAGTTTTCTTGGATTTTCTCTAATAAAAATAAAACTTACCGGGAAACCAACCAATCCAGGATCTCCAGGTTCACCCTAATTGAGAAGAAATAATTTTAAGAGTTCTAGTTTTTAAGCTGATCTTTAGACTTAGTTACATTTTATTACAACACTCTAAACAAGTATATGAGTTATATCAGCCCTAACAGGACTTGGTAACGTTAATTAACCTAATATCTGGGTATTGTGAAATGGGAGAGGATGCGCTCACAATTTAACACAAGACAGAAAAACAACCTGAAAAGAATTAAAGTGATTTTTAAATTAAGCATGATTTTGGATCATTCCATTATTCTATCTATGCATTCCTCTGCTCCGTTCATTCTTACAACTCAGAGTTCATTTGGAAATCAATTTTATTAATCAATAATTTACGCTGGATTGCTTAATCAAATCTCCCATCTCTAGCAAACTTACCCTGTATTTGTCACGGTCGTCTTTAGACAGTGCATAAGGTTCACCTTTCTGCCCTTTGGGTCCATAGGGCCCCTAAAATAGTACATGTGTGGTAGAAAGAGAAAAAGGCAAAAATAGTCCGTTACCATTTAGAACAGCTATAGTCATTTGGATGATTACATATTGACTCTCATGGGCAATATCTAATTGCGCTTATGGCTGATTTAGATTATCTAAAGACTAATCAAATCACTACATTCAACCACAAAGGTTAAGACTTTTATTTTCATATATATCCAGTAGTATTTTTCTTTAAAATACAATGGAAATACTTAATAGGATTTGAATTATTTTCAAAACCCCAAACAAGTTTCAGTAAACTAATCCTTTAGTATACCAACATGTTATTTATCTTTATCTTTTTTTAAAGATTTTATTTTTAGAGCGAGGGGAAGGGAGGGAGAGAAACATCAGTGTGTGGTCGCCTCTCGTGCACCCCCTCCTGGGGACCTGGTCCACAACCCAGGCATGTGCCCTGACTGGGAATCGAACTGGCAACCCTTTGCTTCACAGGCTGGTGCTCAATCCACTGAGCTACACCAGCCAGGGCTTATTTTTCTTTGTAGGTTTATTTTGTGATTTCTTTGGCATTAGTGTACTGAAAATATTAACATGTAGTCTGAAGCACCATTTGTGGGAGAGATTCTAGCCATTCTTTAAAACTAAAATTGTGTCACATATACATGATATGTACATACATACATATGTACCTGTATACATTGTCTTACTACCTACATATAAAATATAAAACCAGTATTTTAAAGTAATGAATATATTTGTTGCTGATAAAAGTTATTTTATTAGAATAGACTAGAAAATGATGTAGCTTATTAAAAGTTGAACGACGTAAAAAAGAGTCAAAGAGGCAGGAAGTGGAAGGCAGAGCTGCCAGTACGAAGAGAAATTGATTAGCTTCAGGGGGAAGCGGGTGAAGGGAGTTTATGACTGTTCTTCCCCCACCTTAAAAAAGTTTAACCAAATAAAGTGTTCATATAACCACGAATTTGCAGCATTTTGGTGGTAAGAGGGTAGAAATATACTACCAAAAAATATTTCAGTATTCTTTGCAAAGACCCTGAAAACTAAATGAGGCCACGAAATAGGTTGATATATGAAAGTTCTTCCTTAAAAAAAAAACCAAACAACCAAACTCCAGTATTGTATATGCTGAAGAATATCATTGTCCTTTCATGTCATAATGGATGTTAGAATCTAATAAAGATAGTGACTAATAGTTTTGTCAAGCTTTAAGCTTTTTAAAATTTTAGTTTTATTCTCACTCTATTATTCACTGTTACTTGAATTGGAGCATGGGAAGAAATGAAGTGACACTTAGAAGAATGTAGGAGGGAACAATAGAAACCAAGCCAATGATTTTTCTAAGCTAACATTTAAAAAATGAATACAGAAAATAAAGTTATTTGAATTCAGGAAAACCATGTCTAGATATGTGCAAGAAAACCTCAGCAGGGAGGTGTACTTCATCCTGGCCATTAAAATGAGAGCAATTTTCCCTCAGTATAGAAGGCAGGTTTAGCATGTGCCTGCAGCCTCTGCAGGTGAGTGAACTCAAGGCAACACACCATCCTTAGAAAGTTTCTGTAAGACAGTCTCTTAAGGGCTCTGTGCTGGCGCATGAAAGAGAGCCAGGAATGCGGCCTCTTCCATACATTTCTGCCAGCAAGTGCCAGCCATCCAGGTTCCAGAGCTAACCACGTGAACATCACGTTCTGTGCTGATGATACTCACAGCAGGTCCAGGGGAGCCGTCGGGGCCGGGGGGTCCCTGCTGACCTATGTCTCCTCTGGTCCCATTGCAGCCATCGTAGCCAGGTGGTCCTCTGGGTCCACCTTGCCCAGGGTGTCCCTGGGAAAGAGAAAAGACAGTAAGTCATCCAGCCCATAGGTGTTCAGTTTTCATATAACTGTGTGATAAAACAGTATCAAATCTTCTCACGAGAGACATCCCTGGCATGAATCCAAAGGAAAAGCCAGTTCAAAATGAAGGAATGAATGAAAGGTTAAGTAAACAAAGTCACAAAGGTAGAGTTCCAACCATGGGAAAGGCCTTCAAGACAAAGTTCTATTTCTCAAGGGTTTTGGTGAGCAGTAAACTGTGTTGGCATTTTGACTACCTTGCTTCATTGGGCAACTGGGAGGGCTGTTTTGGCAGGGGCAGGGGAGGAGTGGATTTAAAAATTCTAGAAAAAAGTTATATAAGTATAACTTCTATACTTCTAGGAAAAAAGTATACAGATCTTCTCAGAGACAACAAAGATGCCTTCATCTGTTGTGGCCAACTGACTTTGGATAGTTTGGCAGACCTACATCCTCAACAAGTAAAGAATCAGTGGCTTAGCCATAGCTAGAAGAACTGATTTCCTCTTCTTATGTTCTTTGGGAACACTCCTTTTTAGATTTTAAACATGAATAGAGAGCAAGTCAAGTATTCTAAGATGTCTGGTGAGAGAGGGGAAAAATATGATCAAATGTCTTTGGAATAACTAGAAAGGGCCAGGTGGAGTCTGTGGGCACCTCAACTGCATTAATCTGCTTCCAGGAAACATTCTGGGAGCTGGGTTAACAATCTATAATTTATGCATTATGAGCCCATAGCCTGATTTATTTTCTTTACATAAAAGATGCTTTCTTATTATGCAATTTCTTTAAAGTTTTGATTTACTTGATAACAGGCCAAACATATATCCCAGAGTGATTTTTGAGGCCATCATGATGTTTTTTAGATTTACTTTGAGAAATCTGGGAAATTTCAAGACAAATGAACAAGCCCTATACAGAGTGTCTGTACTCTGAATAGTACTAAGAAATACAGTAAGAAAAGTAGAATTTTTCTTTTGTTTGCACATCTTTTTGCTTGAGATGTTCAAAGACATTGCTTCAACTGGTGTCACCAGATAAGAGATACAGTAGATCTTTCAGTCAACCCTCTGGGAATCAGAGAAATCCTGATGGCTTCTGGAAATCATGCTGCACAGCTGCTCTAGCTGTTACAGGGCCAGCTGTCTGATGGCCTTCAAAGCAAAGGTCTCTTTCTGAGGGGGGGGTGGTTTTCTGAAAGCGGATCCTTCAAATCCAGCCTGAGAAAACAAGCTCTGTAGATGTTCTGTTCAAGATGTGTGGCATTTTAGGAAGTCTCTGCTTAAAATGTACCATTCAGTTCCTAATTCTTCTCCTGTCTGGTGTTGGCCTTTATGATTTCCTTAGAACTGATTTAAGTCATTTGAAATTGCATATCAATCTGATTTTCTGTTGAAATTGCACTTCAAAGAAAAATTTCAGTTATATTGAGCTAAACATCTATCTCATTTCTGTATGATACAACTCTAAGATTTTACTGCACATCACTTTTTACATACAACTTCTAAATGGCTAAAATTACCTAGGTCCTTCAAATGCTACACTCATTAGCTGCTTAGATATGGCAGGTTACATTTAATTTAATATGCATTATCAGAGTTCTGTGGTGAAAGAGGCTATATTTAGCAGCACCAAGATTCTACAAAATATGATCAGTTATTTGCTCATCATGATCACTCCCCCATATGATGATTATTTCCTTCCTTATTTTTGAAATATTTGCTTCTGATATTAAATGACTATGAAGTAGAAAAATGAATTAAAATATTATACAGATTAGTTACAATATTTATTCTTAATGTCACTCCATTTAGACTCAGATTTCAACTTCCAGAAGACAAAAACTGACGAAAAGTTCAAAAAGTTCAAGAAAGTAGTTTAAAAATGGGCGATTTAGTTTGAGGCAGTTGGTAGAAAAACTTTCATTACTTGCCTAATTCTTGAAATCTGCAAATTCTTCAATTGTGCCAGTTTCTCCACATTCTGACTCATGTGACTGTTATTTCCTTATGTGTTCATAACTGTGTTTTGTAACTGACACTATCTGTTTGAGTGCCCCATCCAAGTGACACTTAGGATCAGTGGTCACGTCGGGCTCATGTCTTGGTAATTGTGACTTCCTTTCTTTAGCTCTGACTGCTTTCTTCTACTGTTGCGAAAGGCTTCTTGAATGCAGAGCTAAAAATCTGAAGAAAAAGTATGAACTCTCTGTGATGACTCACCACTCATGCTCTTCCTCTATTCTTCTGCAAAGGGGCAGCCCTGCTAGTGCAGCCTGGGGTGTGTGTGCATGTGCGCGCGCATAAAGGTGTACATACGTGTGCATGGGTATGTGCGTGCATGCATAAGTGTGCGTGTGCACATGTGAGCACTGTGAGAGAGAATGTGTGTACGTAGGGCAAGGGCGCAGACATCTGTGTACATGTGAAGATCCCAAAGCAGATGTCCTTAAACTTGAGCAGGAGACAAACGGGGTGGGTCTGAATGTGTGATGAACACATTTATCCCTGAGAAGGGGATCTGCAGGAAGCTGACCCTGGGAAATCTGTTCATGGATCCCAGTGAAGAAGGCTGTGACTCAGGCTGCTTTGTTTATTTTTTTATGCCACAAGAAGTAAAGTAAACTAGGTTAGAAAAACACATTTTATTACATTTTGAGATTTTCTCATGGATAATCCATGCCTCTTCTTGTTTATGTGTGGTTACTACAAAGAATTTGAGAAGCTGCATAAATGTTCAGCAGGGCTTCATTCCATCCACGTTCTTGGCTGTGCTACTTTATATTCAGGTTGTTCTACGGTTAAAACAAAATATCAAGACTGGCTCTTTATTGAGCATATCTGAGCAAGGCTCTAGCTTTTCATTACAAAACAATGTCCAATTCTAGCAAAGTATCCTTAATTCCGAAGCTAAGTCTAGAAGGACGTTTACAAAAGAAACAATTTGTCTGTTGTTTGACTGGATTCCAGGAGAAAGAGATGCACATATAGCCCCACAAGTTTTATGTTATAAACAAAAAAGGAGGTTTAGCTCAAGATGTTTCTGTAAAGTCATAAACGTATTGGTTCACATGCGTACAGTGTTTTAAAATTCTTATCTTACAAAAACTTACAGGAATTCCGTCAGCACCAGGGAATCCAGAAACGCCTCTTGCTCCCTATAAAGAAGGCAAACAAACTTAATGAAGGTCAATACACCCACTGCCCTCCATAAAATTAGAGGAAATCTCATGTTTTCCATACCACATCTCCTTTAGGTCCTGTGATCCCAGGCGCGCCTCTTTCACCCTTGTCACCTTTGTGGCCCTGCAGTCCTGGGAATCCTTGCAACCCTGGGGGCCCAGTGTATCCCTGGGGTCCCACTGGCCCTGGCTGGCCCTGTAGAAACAACATACATTCAATTTCCACAATTAATAGCAATGAATAAGCACTTTCAGTCATGTTGCTTTGGAAACCACACTTTCCATTCTCGAAGAACTATAATCTTCAGAGAACATTATATGTAACTACCATCTTCTGCCACCATAGCCACCAAGGGATTTCTGGCAAACAAAGAATTCATAGAGTTAAAAGGAAAAAAACTATTAAATGTAAGAGAAAATGATCCTAAATTACTAAAGTGATGCTATTTTGAAATGATAATATTGGGCTGGAAAGAATCAACTTGATTTTTCAAAAAAGTCCTTCTATTATTTAAAAAAAGTTCCAAACAAATTTCTAAGATTTTTAAATCTCTACTTTAATATAATGCACACGATAGTTGTGGGATGATACTCAAAAGAATTGAAAGTAGAGACTTAAACATATTATTTCTATATTCATGTTCACTGCAGCGTTTTTCACAATAGCTAAAGGCTGGGAGCCAAGTGTCCATCGATGGATAAATGGATAAACAAATTGTGGTCCATCCATATGATGAAATATTATTCACTTTAAAAAGGAAATTCTGACACACATTACAACATGAATGAACCTTGAGGACTAAGCCAAACAAGCCAGTCATGAAAGGACAAGTACTGTGTGATTCCACTTACAGGAGGTTCCTCGAGCAGTCAAACTCACAGAGACAGAGAGGGGAATGGGGGAGGAGCCGGAGAGTCATTGTTTAGTGGTTACAGAGTTTCAGCTGGGAAGGTGAGAAAGATCTAGAGATGGAAAGTAGTGATGTTTACATAACAATGTGCGTGAACTTAATGCTACTACTGTATAAAAATGGTTAAGATGGTAAATTCTGTTATGTGTTTTTTACTACAATAAAAATAAAAAGATTAAAGGGGGTTCTCTCTCTTATTAATGGAACTGATTTATGAATTATAGTTATGTTCTAATGAAACTCCCAGGTTAGCCTAAATTTATAAAAAAAGCTCTAGGTCTTGATTTCTCTTTATGAATGAGTCTGCTGTTTATTCACCACACAGAACCTTTATCTGCTAAGCCCCGTTTGCTTTCACGCTTCCAATTTCCATCTTGCCTTTAGATTGAGGAGGACTGAGCCATTATTTCTATCTTCCCTTCCATTGCCTATAAATTGCTCTTCCATTATAAACTGTGCAGGTAAAAAGTTTGTCATTACAGAATGTTTATAATCTGTCTGCAACATTCCACACAATTGAGGTGAAGCAAACAATTTCAAAATGCAGCCAACGTGCATTATTAATGTCATGAACACACTGGCATAGAGGGGTCTGGGGACATCTGGCCTCCGCATTTCACTATCATTCCTATGCTGCTCTTCTTTTAGATGCTCCCCTCTCCCGGTGTGGGGGAAGCGGTTAAGACATTTCTTTGGGGTGGAAGATATGAATGGAGATTAAGGTTTCAGCTGGCGCATGAGACTTATTCCAAAACTCAGGAGGCCTGGGTCCTCAGACAAAGAGGGTTTTTGGGAAGCCTGTTGGGGCTTCCTCTGGGCAAGGTCAGAGTGTTAGAGATAATGGGTTCTCCCGCTCTGGAAGAGTCCAGTCAATGCAGCAATCAGCAGGTACTGAGGGTAGCCTGATTGCAGGCATCTTATGTTGTGGTGAAGTCAGTGTTTTAATATCTTTGCTTTCCTGTTGAGAGGGAATTGTGGTCAAAGACAGACAGCCCTGACCTTGGACTCATGATACCCCAGGCTCATTCTAGCTGAGTTCTAGTCAGGGGTCTCAGTATGCTACATTTGTTATAAATCTGGGGACAAAATATGTTTTGATTCTGGTTTTTATGACTCTTTCCAGTTGTGCTCATTTTTGTTTTGTTTGTGGCTCTGTTAGACTATAGCCTTCTTGTGATTATATACCATGCCCCTAAGCCTCAAGTTCCCTAATCATGATGAGGCTTGTCAGTGTTTACAGGGAGTGTCCTTTGGGGGATAAAATGTTCCTCATTAGTACTGTCATTTTTTCTGTCCATAAACTAAATCTCTCTCCAGGGGATTACTGAATGGAGCCAACTAAGAGGAACATCCACTACTCATCAAAATGAAATATGTGAGTCCTAATGATGAAAAGGCACATTCTTGCCTTGTTCTCATTAACCTTTCCTCGATTCTCTTTCATGGGGAACGTGACTAAAGCCATCATGTACTCATTTTCCTTCCATTGTCAGGAAATTTCTTTTTAACCATTAAGGCTTGGCTGGGAAGTCTGACTTTGGGAATAAAACTCCAGTCTTTCCCTTTCTGGAGCAAGTTGTTATTTTCTTCTTTTTATTGAGGTGAAATTCCCATCACATAAATCTAGCCACTTTTAAAGTGGCTTCTAGAACGTTTACAGTGTCCTCATCCTAGTTCCAAGACACGTTTATCATCCCCAGAAGAAACCTCATACCCACTGAGCAGTCACCCCCTGTTCCTCCCCACCCCCAGTCTCTGGGAAACACCCATCTGCTTTTGGATTTCTCCGTTCTTGATATTTCATATCAATGAAATTGTATGCACGATATGTAACCTTTGTATGTCTGGCTTCTTTCACTTAACAGAGCTTTTTTTGAAGTTCATCCCAGTATTATATGATCATGTATCAGTACTTCATTCATTTTTTATGGGTGAATAATATTCCACTGAATGGAAAGACCATAATTTGTCTGTTGTGAACAGTGCTATGAACATTCATGTACAAGCCTCTGTTTGAGTCCTGTTTTCATTTATTTTGGGTTTATTCCTAGAAGTGGAATTGCTGAATCCTATGGAAATTCAATGTTTATCTTTCTGAGAAACTGCCATACTAATTTTTATCATTTTACATTCTCACCAACCATCTGTGAGGGTACCAAATTTCTCTATATCCCTGCCAACAATTGTTATTTTTCATTAAAAAAATTATAGCCATCCTAGTAGGTGTGAAGTTGGTGTTACTCTAAAGCGTCATCTTGAGTTTCTGACAGATGGAACATTTCCCAAAATTCCACCCAGCTTCTGTCCTGGGGAAGGGCCAGGAAGATTCTGGAGAGAATCCGAATCAGAGCCCTGTCCTCTGGGACTGAGCTGCCATTCCCGCCCGCAGTTCAAACCCTGTGTTGCTGAGACTAAATGAACATTTTCGTCCCAATCCAATGACCTTCATATGCATGTTTAAGTTATCAGAAACAGGTTTTTCCCTAGGACATCCTGCCCATGCTGGCATCTGGTGTGTTTCTAAAGAGCAGTTGGCATGATCAGGTATTTCCCTCTGTGCTAATTAATCATCATTATCATCATTAACTTCCATCCTCAGGTGAAAAGTCCCATTTGGAAAAGTTATTTCCATCTCTTCCTTCCCTTTTGTAATAAGAAATGCTAAAAATAAAAATTACCCCAGAGAAAAAAATAAGACTAGTTTAAATGTTTTTGCATAAATCTCAAAAGCTGCTAGATTACTAAAGCTCCTAAAATTCCTGCAACATACTTAATAAAAGAATTTCTACAAAATATTTCTTAAAAGCCAACAGACCATATACTATGCCCTGTCCACATCAGAGAATTTGATTTGTATACATGTATTACTTCCTACGAAGCAGGATAATGGAAAGTATCATTTAATTGTGTATCTTCTGGGATGAAGCACTGTTAGAAGTCTTAAGAAATTATCTTATTTTTATACCCATGACAAATGCATCAAGTGGCACCCCCCCCCCACACTTGTGAGAGGGGACAATGGGGGCTTGGGAAGGTTCGGTAGGAAGAACGGACAGTTATGCAGTTAGGCTTAGGGAGCAGGGCTGGCTCTGAAGCCTTCCATCGTCCATTTAACTTCCTGCTCAGGCGAGGTCTGGGAGCTGCATCAGCCACTGGAGAGCCTGTGAGTCACGCAGACCCCTTGACCTGATTTGGACATGATCCTCAGGGAGTTTCTTAGTACAGTGACATTTGAGAATCACTGCCCGACCTCACCCTCCTTCCCTTCCTGACATTCCTATGAGAGGAGAGAGGTATATTTTAATAAGAAAAATTTCTTATGCATGAATTTGGATCTCAGAAGAAAGGTTGGGCTCAGTGAGTCAGAGGAAAATCTAATATTTGTGTTTGTTAAATGCTGTTTCTAATTAAATTTTTCTTGGTCTTATGCTTCACTGACATCTGTGAGTGAACTTTGACCACTGCTAGAATGGAAGGCTGCACAACTCCTCTTCCCTTTTGAAATCACTACTGGAGTATGTGTGGGATGTCTGGGGTCAGTTTTGGAAGCTGAAGTCTGAGAAAGTGGATAGAATGAGTACAGACTTGACTACACATTGTTTAAATACCACAACTGTAGAGAGAACGCACCTAAAGTCCTGTGACACTAAGCTTTCATGAATTTGGAATTTCCACTTCCATAAAAGGGGCAAAATATAATAGGGTATGTGCACGTGTGGAATAACTCTACAACGTCAGACTCTAAAGGTAGGAGATCCGTGATTAATCAGGGCCCCAAGCAATATCACATGTGTGTAACTCCAAGGTGGTATCTGTTTACGTTCATAGTTTAGTAACCTTAAAACTTGTCTTGGGTAAGGAAGTAAGAAGAGCTTCATGTACCAGGAAGGATAAAGAGACATTTTTCCAAGGATAAAACCTACTTCATTGCATATCAGGATTTTTAATCTACAGTACAGTATTTTCCTGGTAGAATAAGAATAAGCTTTTCATGAGTTACTGGCCAACATCTGAATACTAGGAAATCCCTTCTCCTTCCTAAGTTTACTCTTCCTGTCTTGAGAGGCTTTTGTGGGCACCGAGCGCCCCACCAGACACCCCATATCCTCTGTAATCTCCTGGGGGCCCCTCCCTTCCTTGGCTGTTGACGACATGTTCCAGGCCTTCCCGGCCTTCTGATGCTGCAGTTCCTGGTGACTCTCAGGGAATTCCAGCCCAATTCCCAGCTTATCCTGAGAGCTGTTCACACACATTCAAAAATATGTAAAATGTCCCCACAGGCAGA